GAGGGACGCGAACTCGACGGTCTTCGTCCGTCTCGGGTTAAACGAAGCAGCCCCAGATCGGAACTTGTTGCCGAATTTGCTAGGTTTTCTTGAAGGCATTGCGACGACGTGCCCACCGGCCGTGCCTGAAGATCACTGCAAGATGCGGAGATGATGTCGATAGAACATGGAAAAAAGATAATAAGAGGTTGGTATTTCAATAAGGGAAAGGGTGGCACATAATTTCGCAGCTTCGCTAGAGTGGTTATTGTTAGTAGGAGAATAATTCAAGACTGGCTGTAAAGTTGAGTATCTCGATTGCACTTAAATCGACCCGATCCACACTGTATGCTGCGGAGCCCACCAGAGTAAATTAGATTTCGACCTGCGCCATTCCAACGCGTTCGCGTTTCTACTTTACGCGTGCCATTGGCCGATCGCCTTGTCACGGGGAAACTATCCGCTTTTGTTGTACCGCCGGGCAGGTTCTCGGATCGCGGAATCGTGCGAATGTCCGCGGCCTTATTGTTTCTCTGCGAAGAAGTTCCGCCCGCCATACCGTAAAGGTGATTGCTGCTGCTGCTGCTGCAACTGAGTCCAAACAAAATAACATCATGGCTGACGATACGCGGGGCTCCACAACCATTGCTCCGGAGCAAAGGGAGCCGGAATCGCAAAATACTGCATCGGATTTCACATCTCAAAAGAAGCTGAAGCATGAGATACCTCAATCGCAAGTCGGAAAACTTTGGGACGCATTTGGAAACCCTGAAGAGCCTGTCAACATGCTTCCTTCTGCTGGGATCAAGTCCGGAAAGAAGCATGCCGACATCACGGTTACCGAAGCTATGAAGTCAATGTCGTTGGAGAATGCTACGTCTTTCTACAAAGCACCCTGTGCTCGGGATTCGTTGCTTATCGGAATCGGCGCCGGGTTCGGTATAGGTGGGGTGAGGGGTGTTATTGGAGGTAAGTTGATCACACCAGCTCGCCCTAACTAGTCATTCTTTGAACACTGGCTTACTTATTGTTTCCTCATATCAGGGCTGCCCAGGATTTGGACTGCCTGTAACTGGGCCGTGGGCGCATTTGCCATTACCGCCCTCGCAACACATGAATTCTGCCAGCGACGTCGAGTACAGGAATTGGACGGCATGAAACAGGCTGTGGAGCTGATGAAGGAGCTCAAACTCAAGAAGCAGCGCGAGAAGGAGCAGAAGGAAAAGGAAGCCGCGCGCCTGGCGGAAGAAGAGAGGCAACGGAAGAGTTGGACCAATCCTTCCAACTACAAGTTCTGGTAGAGTCAATTGCACCTTGCGCGGAGTCTTGGAGTATATCTTCAGGAAATCATTGTATATTATTATATGTCATGTGGTATGCATGTCAGGTACATACATATTGTTCTATTCTGAGCTCCATCCATGTCTTCGTGTTCCCTTCGGCTATTTTAATGCCAACGCATCGAGCAGTGAGCTCATAATCAGTCATCTTTCCGTGCAAGATCGTTAGGTACAGGTGAAGCAGTAGCCTTCAAATAAACTGCTAGATTGTTTGAGAATCGCACTCAATTGCCTCCGTGGGCTTGGTTGCCTATATCATCACATGTTGAACTTGACCCTCTTCTGTATGGCACCACTTTGAATGCTTCGGATTTTATCCAAATCGGCACCATCGCGTCGCTCTCGTCGCTTTTCTCGTGCCTCTCTTGCTTCCCGGTTTTTCCATTCTGCGACTTGCTTCTGCCTCTTTTGCGACCTGGCCCATGCGATGGCCGCAGTAGGCTTAAAACCGATGCCATTTATCCCGTAGCCATCATCACTCGGGTCTGAAGGGTTGTGTCCAGTAATCTCCGAGTCATGCCATGTAAGCGGATTTTCAAGCGCATCGCCGGTGAGCGGTGGTGAGCTTCTCGCACTGCGAATCTTAGATGTGACCGATGGGTTCTTCTTCTTGCGGGGACTCGGGGTTGACTGCCTTTTTCTAGGCGATGCGGAGATGCCAGTATAGGGATTATCAGACTGGGGATGGCATGTGTTTTCCGTCGACTCGTCTAGATTGGGCTGATCTTCTGCGTGAGAGCCAGTTTCGGGCATTTTGCAAGGCCCAAAGATAGAGTCGTGTAGAACAGGCCAGCATCCCGACGGCACCGAATGCGTGACAGCGCCCTGATCTAACCCATAAGGAGTTGGGGGAGTCGATAAACGGTCTCCACGGATGGCCAGTTCTCCTAGGCGACCGGCCACTACCGCTCGAGGACTGTACCTTCCCAAGTCTTCGGTTTCTCGAAGTCTGGCTTCCTGAAGGCTGAGTATCGAGACAGTAGATGTGGGTGACGATGGACTGTACTGGTCGGTATCCTCTGACGATGCCCTCTTGCGCTTAGGGGAGTTGAAGGGCATCGTCGTCAAGCTCGAAGACATCATCGCGGGGCGAAATCTGCAAGCGGATGTGGGGGCATCACAGCGCCCGAGCGCCAGTAGTTTGGGTTGGAAGAATTACCCAGCAATTTGTAGGCCTCCGGCAAGACGTTGGTCAGCGTTTTGATGGATCAATATCAGAGACAGTAGAAGAAGCCATCATGGCGAAGAAGCTGCGGGCGATTTGTTGTCATGATAGGAAGAAAGGGGGAGGGGGGCTAGAGTACAACAGGGTTGGATTATTATCCTTGGAGGTGAGGTGAAGTGAGGGGGTTCGGCACTGCTTGGTTGGCCTGGATTATACCAGGCGGTCCCTCCGACAGACAATGAATAAGCAATGTCTGACGGAGCAAACGTCAACTTGCAGCTAGTCTAGCAGTCAATCAATCAATCAGTCATGGATGCCTGTTCAAACAACAAAGCACTTGATTTGTGTGGCGTGAAGGAGCGAGGAAAGTATATGAAAATCCCGATTTAGATTTGCAGAACTACAAGGAAATTTTAGAACGACACAGGCCTCAATCGAATAATTTACAAATACCCAGCCCGTCACGTCGTGAAGGAGAAAACAGAACATAGATGGCAAGAATAGATCAACCCGACAACGCCTCGACAATAATGACGCCCTCCTGTCCCAAGACTTGGTGGTGCTTCTAGACCTTCTTCTTCTTTTTGGACGGCTCAGCATCGCTGTCGTGCTTCCGCTTCTTCTTCTCTGACTCGCCCTCGCCAACGTCTGACTTGCGCTTCTTCTTCTTGTCCTCCTTCTCACCCTTCTCCTTCTTCTCCTTCTTTTCCTTCTTGTCCTTCTTCTCCTTCTTCTCCTTCTTGGCCTTCTTGTCTTCCTTGTCGGACTCAGCATCCTTCATCTCATCGTCGCTCTGCTCAGCGTCGATGTCCATATCAGCAAGGAGAGCATCCATGGCGTTTTTCTGCACGTGATGTCAGTATATGGCTAGTATTCGATGGAAGTAGCAACGTCTATATACGTACCATGGCAACTTCGTTCTTGGTAGGTGCGGCGCCAGTAGCGTAGAACTCCAGGCGCTCCTCGACCTGGGCCTTCAGGGCCTCTCCAAACTTGGTGTTGGGCTCCTCGGAGAAATTGTCGATTCTGGAGGCGATGGAGCACTTGTTGGCAAGGAAGCGCGAGATGCGACCCTTGTTCTTGGGACCGGCCCGGCCAATGAAGGACGAGTGGTACAGGAGACCGTACTTGGGGGTGTTACCCTTGGTCTTCAAGGCTCTGAAGAGAGCCTTCTCGGCACCGAGAATCTGCACAGTAGAGGCGGGGTACTTGGAGAGGTTTGTCAAGCTTCCGGCGTGGGAGATGAGGCGAGCACCAACGATCTCGCCAATCAGAGCAGCAAGGTTAGGAGCCACAACGCTCATCTTAGAAACCAAGTAGGCGTGGAGAGACTTGCGATACTTCGACAGGCTGACAACACGCTGAGCGAAAGAGATCACGTTCTCCATATCAGTCTCAGAGATCTCCTGACCCATACTGTGCTTAGCAGCATCGATGACGCTCTGGGCAACACCCTCATCATCCTCGACGAGGGCGGCAAGATCGTGCAGCTTGTCATCAGTCAGATCCTTCTTATCCTTGACGAACAAGGCAACCTGAGCGTAGCGCTGGTTGTCCGAGACAATCTTGATAAGTTCAGGAAAGTGCCAAGAGTACCACTCGCGCACTCTCATCGAGAAAGTGTTGATGGCCTTGTCGAGTTGGTCGAGAATAGCAATGGCCTGGATGATGTGGTTGTCGTCGCGCTGAACGGAGAACTTAACCTTGGCACGGGAGTATGCGTGACCGAGACCAAGCTGGGCAGTGTCAATATCACCCTCACGAAGTTGCTTGAGCAGCTTAGTGGCGTGCAGTCTAATTCCACGAAGCATATCCTGAACAACCTCGCTGGTCTCGCCGGTTTCGCAGTCGACGAAGTCGAAGGCCGACTTAATGCTTCCAGCAAGAGCCTTGTCCAACAGACCCAGAACGACCTTCTTCTTCTTGTTGGGCTTGGGAAGGTTCAATTCGAGGAAAGAGACGAGCGTATCCGAGGCGACACCTTCCGAGATGTCGTTGATTTCACTGAGGGCCTGCTTGTTGTTCCTGGACTTGGTCAGTATTCTGGCGGGAAAAAAAGGCGAAAAATCCCCCTCAAAGCCAGATTGACGTACTCAAAAGGCAAGAAACTGGCCAGCTCAACCATCTTTCCGAACTTAGCAAGGTCATCAACGCCTTCCTGAACCTCCTTCAAACGGTTGCCGACACTGTCACCCTGGTGGGCGACCTTGAAGAGAGAGTAGCCGATAGGGCCCTCCCAGAGAAGATAGTCGGCCATAGTGAAATTGAGATCAAGGCCCAAAAAAATGTAAGAAAAGGTCCTTCACGTGCGAGCGACTGAGCCCGCTTCTCAATTTCCCAGGAATTTGCGACCGTAGACCGGGGCGTGGAGCGACGTGGAGTTGAAGAAAAGCCTAGGAGGGTAGATTTGCAGAGTCGAGCCGTCGGAGCTCTTTTTTTTCGCAGCGGCGCTAGTGCGAACACAGAATGTGGGCTTTTTGCCAAAACCAAAGGCTCACCGCATTCACGGCAAACACCACCGCTAAGGTTTCTGGCAGTGCGGGCATCCTCTATCGGGCCTATAGCAACAGCAAGCTGGTTTAATCTCAAGTCCTTTCGTTGGGTCCTTGTTGCTTGTCATTCAATCCTTCTGCAGAAATGTCTGCGACGCAATTACTCAACCCCAAGGCCGAGTCGAGGGTATGAAATCCATTCCCCCCCCCTCCTCACAATAGCCCCTCAGTGGCCTAGCAGAGACTAACGGCTCACAGCGGAGAGCGGAGGCTTTGAAAGTGAACATTAGCGCTGGTGAGGGTCTCCAGGATGTCTTGAAGTCCAATCTTGGTCCCTCTGGAACGTTGAAGATGTATGTTTGGTGTCCCTGATAACTTCCCAACTTCTTAATTAGCTAACAAATCATAGGTTGGTGGACGGTGCAGGCGGAGTATGATTTATTTCCTCTCAACCGGTCGAGCGAAGGTCTAACAACAGAGTCTCAATCAGATCAAATTAACTAAAGATGGCAACGTTCTTCTCCGTGAGATGGTAAGTCTATCTTGGCCAGCGCTTTCTTCCATCGACTAGAGACTAATTTCAATAGCAAATTCAAAACCCCACGGCTGTAAGTTACCTTTCCGGTCATATATCGAAAGCCCCTTTCTAATTGCCTCGAAGGTTATGATCGCTCGTGCTGCGACAGCTCAGGATGATATTACTGGCGACGGAACGACGTCCGTTGTCCTGTCGGTTGGAGAGCTCTTGAAGCAGGCAGATCGTTACATCTCCGAGGGTCTGCACCCTAGAGTCATCACGGATGGTTATGAGATTGCAAAGAACGAGACTCTCAAGGTATGCTATCCTAGAGAAATTTCTACATTTTCGGCATACTGAAGTATGATGGCATATAACTAGTTCCTCGATCAGTTTAAGATCGAGCGAGCCATCGACCGCGAACTCCTACTGTCCGTCGCCCGGACGTCCCTCAGCACAAAACTGAACAGCGCCCTCGCTGAGAAGCTCACCCCCGATATTGTCGATGCCGTCCTCGCTATCCACAGAGCTCCTGAGAAGCCCGATTTGCACATGGTTGAGATTATGACGATGCAACACCGCACCTCTTCCGATACCAAGCTCATCCGTGGTCTTGCTCTTGACCACGGCGCCAGACATCCCGATATGCCTAAGCGTGTGGAGAATGCTTTCATCTTGACACTGAACGTCAGCTTGGAGTACGAGAAATCTGAAATCAACTCCGGTTTCTACTACTCTTCTGCTGAGCAAAGAGACAAGTTGGTGGAGAGTGAGCGCAAGTTTGTGGATGCCAAGCTGCAGAAAATCGTGGAGCTCAAGAAGCTTGTTTGCGGCAACGATCCTAAGAAGAGCTTCGTTGTGATCAACCAGAAGGGAATCGACCCCCTGAGTTTGGATGTCCTTGTCAAGAACGGAATCTTGGCTCTCCGGAGAGCTAAGCGCAGAAACATGGAGCGTCTCCAGCTTATTTGCGGTGGTGTCGCACAGAACAGCGTGGAGGATATGACCCCCGATGTTCTCGGCTGGGCTGGTCTTGTCTATGAGCACCAGCTTGGTGAGGAGAAGTACACTTTCGTCGAGGAAGTCAAGGATCCTAAGTCCGTGACTATCCTCATCAAGGGCCCCAACCAGCACACCATTGCGCAAGTGAAGGACGCTGTTCGTGACGGTCTGCGCTCCGTTTACAACACCATCGTCGATGGTTGTGTCGTTCCCGGTGCCGGTGCGTTCCAAGTGGCCTGCGCCGGCCACCTGTCGTCCGACGCCTTCAAGAAGACTGTTAAGGGTAAGGCCAAATGGGGTGTCCAGGCTTTCGCCGATGCACTTTTGATCATTCCCAAGACTCTTGCAGCCAACTCGGGCCACGATATCCAGGACTCACTGGCGATGCTTCAAGACGAGCTCGCCAACGGCAACAACGCCGGTCTGGACTTGACCACCGGCGAGCCGATGGATCCTGTGCAAGAGGGTGTTTTTGACTCTTTCCGTGTGTTGCGTAATTGCATTGCCTCCAGCACGGGCATTGCCTCGAACCTTCTACTTTGCGATGAGTTGCTCAAGGCCCGTCAAATGAGCAGACAGTCAGGACCTGGTGGTATGGACGAGTAATGTGGCTTCTACAGACAAGGTATATCATGTAAAGCACTTCTGTGAATTTCTTCATCGGTTTGCAGGTTAGAAAAATACTCTACGTCGAAAGTAGGCTCAAAATTGGCCATACTAATGCATCTTTGGCACATCCTAATTGAATCGAATATAATCCACAGAGCTCGCACTCCGCCAGAAATTAGTACCGGTTTACTGGCCTAAGCTACCATAATTTGGTTCGATATGTGCTCATGGAGGTTTTCTGAGCTGTCCTCGGCCGCGGCGTTGTTCTCAGGACCTTCGCAAGGTCTAGGATTCATATACACGCCAGTCTTGCTCTGAGGAGTTATTAAATCGGGATCCAATCGTACATGGCGTTTTCATACGGTCAGTAGCGTATGTAGATAGTAGTAATACAAAGGGCGCTGTTCCACAGACGCGCATACAGAAAGGAGCATAGCTGCAAGAGAGACTATCCATCGCCGCTTTCATTACTGTCCCCATTGCTCTCTTCGTCCGAATCGGTCGGAGCCCATTTACCATGAAACCCCTCATCTTTAACCGGGTCCCACAGGGCCATATGATGAGACTTGGCCCATTCGAGGACGGTTGTCTTTCGTATTGTTACAATTGAGTCACCCCCAGCGCTAGTCGCTCCAGATGAATCCTTTGACTTCCGCTTCTTGGCCGGCGTGGCCGGCTGAACTACTCCCAGGCCCCTGAGAGCTGTGATGACGTCCTCGGTCAACATGCCCGTTGCCAGACCAATGTCCTGCACTGTCATGAGCTCATGGGCGGGTCTCTTTTTCGGGCCCTTAGGGGACTTCGACTTCTGTGGCACAGCAGCTTCCTCTGCGTCCTCGGCCTTCCAACCATGCAAGAGCAAGTGTCTGGCCACACGCTCCTCCCAGAAGCGCGCGTAACTCTTGCGACCCATTTCGCTCAATGGTCGCTCCGGCCCGCCGATCAACCCACTGTCGCGCTCCCAGGCACTAATCTTATAACTGACCCCCATCAACAATTTCCCAAGCTGCTTGTGCTGGTACGGGGGGAAGACCAGGATACAGGCGAGATTGTTGGCATCCCAGGAGAGCTTTTCCTTCGAGAAGAATCCCAGCACGTGGTAGAAATCGGGGTCGGCGGGGTCGGTGAAAACGAGGAGGTAGTAGAAGAAGGACACGACATCGAAGAAGACCGACTTGTGATCAAGAAACAGTTTCGCAAAAAGGGAGAGGTTCTGCGCGTAGAGCTTGTGATGTTCGCCGTCCAACTCCCAGACCGAGTAGTCTCCCTGCTCGTAGACCTTGACCCCGGGCGGTGATTTCCGATGTGGGCAAAGGCGCGTGTGTTTCGCGTAGGCGTGCTCGTCGCACGAGTAACGGAAGCACCAGCGACAGACGTACAACCTGTCTGTATCCTTACTGACTAAGTCCTCCGGATATATGGACTGGTACCAGGTCTGGAAAAGGAGATCACCGAGTACGACGTGCTTCACATTACGTTCGGTCGTGGAGGACGGCTCAGCACGCGTCGCGGGATCGTCGGCGGCCATTGAAGACAGGCAAATCCAGCACGAGGAGGTGCACTAGGCTTCAGAATTGCGATTGAGGAGGGAGCGGAGGGCTTGGGATGTTGGAGGAAAGAATTAGGAAGACTCCTTCTATGCCGGTGAGGATGTGATGTGAACGTGCTTCCGTGTGTTGGCCATTGGAATGGGTGTTGGAGTGTAGGAGGTGTGTTGTCGAATGTACTCCCTGATCGGGATCGCTAGGTATGGATTGATTAGCCTGAATAGGATTCAATTTCTATTGAACCAACACACGTAGTAGGGTATTCTGTCTTGACTGTCCGTTTTATTTCGCCTTTTGTTCAGAATATTCGTCTGAGATGTTTCCGACTCTATCCATTTCTTTGTAGTGGTAATGGCATATAGAAGATACTAACTATAGCTAATGTAGAATGTACTAATTCGCAGCCGCAATGATGAACGGGTCATTTGACGGGCCTCCCCCGGGCCAATCAACAGACCTCAAAGGCGGGGGATGCTTTGGGAACTGGAAAATGAACGGAGCAGCTTCTCCAATGGTTGATTGACTGATTGAACCTCTTATTTTACTTTGACCGTTTGACCGTTTGACCGTTTGACCGTTTGACCGTTTGACCGTTTGACCGTTTGACCGTTTGACTGTTTGACTGTGTGAGACTGAGAACTGAGGAAGAGGACCCGGCCAACCTTGAAGTGTTCCCCCCCTCCTCCCTCATCCTCATTGGAGACTGTCTGATCGACCTTCTTCACATCATCCCTATTGCCCCTCCCCCATACCCTCGAGTCTGTCTCCAATATATCGCTGCCTGGATCCTGCTTGCCTTGCTTAATCGCTCGTATTTAGTTGTACTGTCGATGATTGCTCTCTTTCACGGAAAATCTTTTGTTTGGACCGAAGGCAAATCCAAGCTGCCTAGTAGATTACATACGGCGACTGACCTGACTTGGTACAACCACCAACACCACCACTGCTACTACTAATCACCCGCTCATAGGCAGCAGCAATAGTGACGACTATAGGCTTTCTGTGTATTGATTTCCTTTGCCTCCACAACTTTCCCTCCTTATCACCTTTCCAGGGTCTCTATCTCTTTATCTACAAATAATCACTCTGTCAGTTCTCGACATTGACATTTTGCATCTACCCGCTCGCTGCCTATCCCGTGCGGTCCACTCTTCTCGGATATCGATATCGCTCCTTTGCGACCTACAAACTACGATCATCTATCGTCTCTGATTGAAACCTGCTCTTCTGGCAGCTTTGGGACGGAGTCTCTCTCTCCCGCGACCGCCCGCTAGCTTCAGAGATGTTGAAGCCTTTCCAAATCAGAGATCTCCACCGGTCCTCACCATCGTCATCTCCAAATGAGGCCGCAGATCTAGACCGCCCCCTGTCTCCAACGAGACGCCGGGGTATCGTGCAGCTGTCGGCGTCTCAATATGATAATCTATCTTCCAGCCATCCGCGAGCCCGCTTGACGTATCTTGACGAAGATGATGGGGAGCTTATCACGGTACGAGCTCCAATCCTTGACCGTTGATCTGAGTACTGACATGTTGTATAATGGTAGGTCGGTTCTTCTCTTGAGCTCTCACAGCGACTTGAGGAACCCGTTGATGCAGAACTCGATCCTATCACAGCCGCCCAACCGGCCCTCGAACCTATGCATATTTTTGACATTCGACGGTCAAACTCAGTCACGGAGCTGTGGAAGAAATTCGAATGCAAGCAGGAAACACGGGAGACAAAGGATATGAATGATGCGACAACCGAGTCCACACCTGCAGAACCCTCCGCATCAACCACCCACCAGACAGCAGAAGGCTCAGATTCTCCACAGAGAGATGCTCACGCAGCTGATATCGAGGAGTCCGAATCGCTCCTGGCTGCATTCGAGGCTGAGATGGCCAAGTTTCTCAGTGCTTCTCGGCCTGCAACTGGTCCTACACCCCCCGCAGAATCCTCCTCCTCCTCGTCGCAGTCAAACTCAGAGTCAAGATCGGCCAGGCCTCAGAATGCAGCCGAAGCATTTACTCACGCAATGCATAGTTTGATTGACGGGGCTGAGTTGCTCAGCTCTGGGTTAATGTCAAGATTGCCTGAGATTGAGAGACAACTGCAAAACGTTCAGAGGGCCATACCTGAAAATGTTGGGGCCTCCGTGCAGGGAGCTCTTGCAGCCGTAGAAGCGCAGCTCAGACAAGTGACTAATTCCCCAAATAACTCTCCAGCAGTGACTGCACAGGCGGCCCACATATTAGAGGGCGAGCTTCCCACGGCCACGAGCACAGTGGAAAGCCTGCGCTCCATGGCGTCCGAACTTGGCAACGTTGGCCATACATTGTTTGAGGCATTCGAGACAGAGCTTGGCTGCAATCGGACCAGGCCACATGAGCAATCTTCTGCTACATCCACAGAGCACCGGAGCTCGGATGATCTGGTATCAGACAGGAATCCCGAATTCACGCAAGCCCGTAGCACGGAGACCAGTCTTGAAACAACAGACTCAACTAAGGGCCTCGAAACAGAGAAATCAACTACGAAAGAGGAAAACGAGGCAAAGGATGCCGGGTTGCAGGAAAGTGCGGCTCAGTCTAGGATGTCTAGCAATTTCGACTCCAGTGATCCGATCTCAGAGCCGTCTCGTCGTCAGACTCAACCCATCCGCTTCCCCAATGTCCAGCCTCCTATGCAGCCCATGCATCATTCCCGACGCCGCCCTCACCCTTACCCACCTCCGGCTCCTTATTCTCATCACCATCCACGCGCACCTCCCTTTCCTCCTTTTTTCCATCATCCGCCACCTCCGCACTGGCAATTACCTCCAGGAGTCCCTCCATCATGGCCATTCTCAACACTACCGGACCTCCGCAATGGCTACCCCTCTGCACCCCCTCCACCACCACCACCACCTCACTTTCATTTGAACCATCATCCTTTAGACTTGCGGTCACACTTACATCGAGGAAGACACCAAGGCCGATACCCAGTCGGGCCCACGAACTTCTCGGATGTGCCGGCTGACAATGATATGGGCTCCACGGATGTCCCTCCCGCCGCTTGTCAACCGCGTGGAGTGCGACCCTCCGAAGAGGGTACCGCATTGTTCATTGGTAATGTAGGCTTTGACGTCAGTGAAAAGATGATTACCGACGTTTTTGCCTCCAAAGGATTTTTGGTTGACGTCCACCTCCCCCAAGAATCTGAAACTGGGAAACATGCTGGATTTGGATACCTACAGTTCCCAACAGTACATGCAGCAAAGGCAGCTTTGGATGCTCTACAGGGAGAACATATTGACGGACATGCCATCAACCTGGAGTTCAGTGACCATTCGCCCATTCTCGGGTTACGACCACAGAAATCTCAGTCGCAACCTGAATCAAATCAGCCAGTGGCCAGTGCTACTTCCCCTACAAAACGGCCATCAGAGCTTCAGGGTTCCGTGGCGTCACCTGCGAGGCACAGTGTCGACGAGGCTTCCGCGAAGCGCGCGGTGCCCCTGACGGTGGCGGACCTGTGCTCCAGCGATAATCGCAAGCGAGGCGATGTGGTGTCCTCCCTGAATGGCCTGGAAATCTCATCAGATGATGATGCTGATCAGCTCAACATCCTTTATCCATCACTCCTCCCTGAGGGTTCTCCGCAGTCATCAAGGTCGAACAGCATCCCATCAACTTTGTCAGATTTGACTGCAGAGGTCGAGCAGCGTCGCTTCCCACCGATTTCGCAGCTAGAAGCGCAGTTCCGTGCTATGCAATGTCATCAGACCGCGCCGGCTCAGAGTAAAACCCCAGACGACGGCCCCAAAAGTCTGGATGCTGGATTAACATCTTCATCGTCGTCGTCGACCATTCCGGGTACATTTCCGAAAACCAGCGGCGATGCTGCTAAGCCGGTAGAGATCCCTTCCTCAAGTCACCATGTGCCAGACGAGCTTGAGAGTCAGGTTGGGCCTCGTCGCCATAGTCGACGCTCGAGATCTATGAAGCATCCTCACTCATCCTGGAAGGGTCATGGTGTAGGTTCTGGCCAAGTAGAGCCCGGGCCGTCTCACAATTCCTTTGGCCGCCCAAGGCCAGGCTTTAGTCACCGTGCTAGACATCACCGAGAGCCCGAAGGCTCCTCTAGCCAGCCACAGCTGACTCCAACCATGCGGCAAACCAGCATTGATGCATGCGTGGCTACACTGGTTGATTTGGGTTATGGTGGTGCAAGCGATGGCGGTCTGCAGCGTATCGCAGTGTATGCTGCAGCTGCAGATGCTAATGTGCTTGACGCTATTGACATGATCGAAGAGGAACGGAAAGCCTATGAGCAGCAGGGATCCTCCATGTGATGATTCATGGTATAGCATTAATTGTTTCTGGCTCGTGCTATTCGATATGACTGCGATTCGCTATGATTGTGCGTTCCGGCTGGACTGAGGATTTGTTTTTTTTATTGGGACTTCTTGTTCATTCAAGACTGATGATAGCACTCTACTCAGAATTAAAACTAGCAGTCAGGTATTCATTTTTTAATGCCTTGTTCAAGCGAACACCAGCAGTAGTTGTAGGCACAGCATATCTATAAGGTAGTCTCTACTCCGTAGCTTGTAGCGTCCGGTCACGGCGGGCGGAGCTGAATCATCATGCCGGGCGGCTGCCGCCTTTTTTCTCCGCAACGCGCACCCTGGAGCTTGACTTAGGATCTACTCCGCCAGTGTAGCTACAATTACATTCATTATCTACTCCTGTTCCTCCTTCAAAGATGCGGATCTGGCGTCGGTCATTCGCCACATCTTTTGCGAGGCTCAATTCTAGGCCCGCGACAACGGTCTCCGGCCCTCCGCTTCTCCGGTGCGCGCAAGTCCTCGACAAAAACCGCACAGGCCCCAACAGTCTGGAAGACCAAGAAATCAAATTACAGGGATACATCAATAATGTTCGCAAACACAAGCGCTTTTCCTTTGTAGAATTCGCCGATGGATCAACTGTCGAGGCTCTGCAGGCTATGGTGAGTGCGGCGCAGGCCGCTGGGTATGTTCCCTCTGATCTCTGTTTTCTTATTGAGTCGACAAGTCAATTAATCTCGATTCTATTTTTACAGGCTAACCAAGGGAACAACGCTTGAAATCACAGGAGTGTGGAAGGCATGTCCTCCAGGCAAGTCCCAGACGCATGAGCTGCATGCAACATCAGTACACATTATAGGTGAAACAGATGCCGAGGTAGGCTGACATCCTCTCCAGCAGTACGAAGTCATTAATCCAGGGCAGCTCTGTTGACAAGCTATATGCCAGACCTACCCCATCCAGAAGAAATATCAAAGCGCCGACTTCCTTCGTCAAATCCCTCACCTCCGCATGCGCACTCCCTTCAACTCACTTCTCTCCCGGCTCCGATCCGAAGTCCTATACCAGCTTGGAAATGTATTTCGAAATGCTCCGAATGGAGGATTCGTACAGGTGCAGCCGCCGTTGATCACGTCGTCGGATTGCGAAGGCGCAGGTGAGACGTTCACCGTGTTGCCAAAGGTAGCATTGGGGGGATCAGCACCCCCCGCCGAGGGCGAGCACTTCTTCCGCGCGCCCAAATACCTTACTGTCTCGTCCCAGTTACACCTGGAAGCCTACGCGGCCGAGCTAGGTAATGTCTGGACTTTGTCGCCCAGTTTTCGGGCCGAGAAAAGCGACACGCCGCGCCACCTCAGCGAATTTTACATGTTGGAAGCCGAAGCGAATTACATGCACGATTTAGACTCGTTGACGGATCTCGTCGAATACCTGCTCCGCGACCTCACGCGGCGGCTCTACGACACCCCCGTCGCACAGGAACTCATCTCGTACAAGGGACCTGTGGAGGAAGGCAAGGAGGGCAGCACCAGGCCTGACCTACTCGCACGCTGGCGCGCCCTGTTGGACGGGCCCAAGTGGCGACGCATGACCTACACCGAGGCGATAGAGAAGCTTCAAGCGGCGGTTGCCACGGACGGCGCCTCATTCGAGTACCCGCCCACGTGGACGGGAGGGCTTCAGCTCGAACACGAGAAGTACATTGTAGAAGTGATGAACCACGGTCAGCCGGTCTTCGTAACCGATTACCCGAAGGCCATCAAGCCGTTTTACATGGCACCGTCCAGCGACGGAGACAGCAGCCGCCGTCACGGCGGCGAAACCGTCGCGTGCTTTGACCTCCTCCTACCCGAGGTCAGCGAGGTCGCAGGCGGGTCTCTTCGCGAGCACCGCCTCCCCGAGATCATCCAGAACATGCGTGACCACGGCTTGATCAAGCAGGTTGCTGCCAATGAGGACGGGAAGAGCGACTCCCCAGCGGACGACTCGTCGTCAACCTCCCCAGCCCCAGCCCTCTACCCCCATCTGCTTCCTGGGGAAGACCTGGGCCATCTCCAATGGTACGCCGACCTCCGACGCTGGGGCACGGCGCCGCACGGGGGCTTCGGAATGGGCTTTGACCGGTTCTTGAGCTACTTGGCCGGGGTACCTAGTGTGCGAGACGTGGTAGCGTTCCCTCGCTACTTTGGTCGGGCAGATTGTTAGCCTTTTCCACCTGGGGAAAGAAACTAGCTATTGTATATTCATGTATTTTTATCACCGTGACCTTCCAGGAGCAAAGCGTAATCTCCACACACGCACACATACACCTTTCACCACCGGTAGACACCGACCTACCTATCTTGTTATACCTACCCCAGCACGGGATGGGATGCATGACAAATATAAGCATAAGCAATAAGCACTTGCATGGACTTCAAAATCACCCTAACTACAGTAGCAGGTAAGACTAACCCAAGAGTAGAGTAGATTTGATTCGATATGCTACAACCACCACCACCACCACTTGGCATCCTAAAGCACCCATCCCCCGTTCTTGTTTTCCCTCTGCTCCTCCAACCCCCACCCCCAATCCAGTAATTGGTAAGTACTAGGTAGTAGGTAAGGCAGGCAGGTACCGACCTTTCCAAGCCAGTGCGTAGGTACCTACCTAAAGCAACGCCCCATTCCCATCTAGGCAACACTCGACTGGACTGGACTGGACTCAATCAAAGAAAAGACGCGGCGAACTCGGGCAGGATCCAAACTCCCATATTACTTTTACGAACCCCTTCGTTTAGCCCAGTAGTAATCGGGAAAATCCCCCAGCCCAGCCCAGCCACCCAGAATAAAAGACCCCCCGCCACAATGTCTTAGAAGGATATAGATGTCTGACCTAAGCTAAGCCTCCGAGACCTCCGGTTCAGATACCTTTTTTGGGGGGGGGGGGTGATAAAGCAAATCCTTGGAGCGATTAAGATCCAAGACATTTGGGGGAATGACTGCGTTAGTCAGTTCGTATAGACGGGATTGAACGCTCTCGAAAGCGCATAGGCATGGGCATGGGCATGGGTATGTTTCTTGTTTCTTGTTCCTTTTCTCGTATTCTGGTCGGGGACCGGGGGGTGTGGAATCATGATGGGAAAACTTACCACGCCACTGGAAGAGGAGGAGGAAGTCTATTTGCGTTGCGAATGGTGGTTTGTTTTTGGGGCTACATTTGGGCGGGGGGCGTTTGTTGGGTTTGTTGTTTGGCATTACGTTTGAAGATATTACTACTAGTCGGGATGGGGGTCATCTGTCCTGATGGGACGGTATCTGTGGTGGGTGTCCCATCTGGGTAGCGAGTATCTAGGGGTAATGAAGTCATCTCTACAGAAGCTCGAGATGGAATGAATGCACAGTTTCTGGTCGAACAGGGTTTCTTGCCTGGGGAGTCACGCAGTTTTGGCCTGGGTGACTACTAGTGCTGGTAGATTAGGTATTATCGTAAAGACGGTGCTACGGAGTACGTAGGGTAGTAAGTCTAGAGGGATCAAGCTTATGGCAACAGATTGCGCAGGTAATATGATGTTAGAAAAGCCTTGGCTGATTGACGGTTGATTAATGTGCACTAAATATAACTGTTCTGTATGACAGTGGCTAATTGTAGGACTGTGGGGGCGGGAACAAGGAAGGTGGATATGTGTTGGATAGTGCTTATGTCTGACTCGCTCGCAGGTGAGTCTTCAGGTTGACTTGAATGCGAAGACTTGGACATATACGAGGACGGCAAGTGATTCAAGTCATGTACAGTACAGTACTTCTTGCTTGGTCAATCGATATATTGTAAAAATAAAACGTCGGCAAGTCTAATGCACTTATCAAGGCTAGCTCCCAATCAGTATTAATGCCGGGTAGCAATCATAGTTGATACTCTAGGTACGAGGTTCAATTAGCCTCTTTAGCCACAGTAGTGGGGTTACCAGCCCAATGAAGTGTGCGATTATGTAGTCACATTGCACTGCCTCAAGTATCCAGTCACTCTTCAAGTCGCCCGGGAAACAGTAATGGATCTCGAAGCAACCGCTCCATGTCATCTGTCCGAAGATGCAATGAAATGTCCACACCATGCGCTGTCCAAAGAGTCAGCGTCGGGGGATCTCCCATCTCTGGGATCCGAGCGGGTGGCGCCTCCTTGATCAAGACAAGCCCATCCAGGTTTGAGAGAACACCTTCGGCGTAGCGAACCTTGCCTTCTGCGCCGTATCCCAGCCCGAAATCAACCTCATACAGACCGGCACGTGCCCACGTCGTCACCATCGTATGGCGTCGACCCAGGAACCCTGTCCAGATGCGCTGCGGGGACTTTTCGAACGCTAGCCGGTGTAAATAAGCTCCCAGGCTAGCTGGGTTGTTGATAAGTGTGATGGTCTCGCGGATGCGCTGCGTGATGTGGGGTAAAGAGAGGGTCTCGTGTCTACTGGCAGTGGTAGTTGTCGTGGTCACCTCTTTCCCCGTCATGCTCACATTCACCATCAGTATGGGTGACCCCAGAAAGGCATCACTGAGATGGAACACCGGCCGCAATCCACAGGTAAGATTGCAATACACTGGGCCGTTGTCGTCGTGCATCTGCCGCGCGCGGTTGATACACGCCCAGATGTGAGCCAAGACGGCATCGTGTCGACTGATTCGACCATTGGTGTACCCTCCCGCTTGTTCGTAGATGATGTCTACTTGGCACTGGGTCAGGTGTAGGACGTAGTAGGATACGCGAGCTTCATGGTCCCATTCGGACCAGGGTATGCATTTGCCTGCCGGGACGATCACATCGTGCTGGAATGCTTCAGGGACGTCAGATGGCCGGATAGATCCAGGTTCTGGATTCCACCAGTCATAGCGATGAATTGGTAGGTCCTCAGTCTGCCGGATAATTGTCTCATCCTGCGTGTCTGCATTGATGTCGCCTGCAGCCAGAGCATCTATCTGGTCCGGTCGAAAGACTGGGGTCAAGACAGGAAGAGGACTCTTGCGCAGTATCGCCCGATTGATGCTTGCCCAGTCCTTGACAAAGTGTACCAAAGTTTGTGCATCCGCGAGTGGATGTGCGAATTTCACTGCTAGGACGAACCCTCCGCAAATGAGTTGAGTAAGCTGAATCGCCAGCACGGGTGGAGAGGCGCCGTCTTCTCGGGCCCCAGATTTGCGGAGTGGATTAGCGAGTTGTGTTGAGGGCACAAATTCGCTCAGATGTGTATCACTGCAGTCCCACAAAGGTTGTGCAGCTGTCCGAGAGAGAGGATGGAGTTCATCCAATGTCACGGAAGATTGTGCAGTGACAAATTCGACGCCTGGGTCATCAGAAGTGCCATACTGTACAGACACGCGACCAAATCGTTGAGTGTGAGGTACTGTACAATCGCTGACTGTGGTCACTGCTTTCAGCTGCCCGCAACAGTGGGGATAAGCGTCCAGGGCGATGATAAGGGACTGACGAAGACGGTCCACCAGGTCGGATTGGCGTTCACGTGCTGGAGGTTCAAAGAGCCAGGCCGCGCAAGTCGCAAGGTAGTCCGCGGTGGTGGCGTCCAATAATGACAGTGGCACAATTCGCTCGGAGCTTAGCTTTGCGCTTGGGTAAAGCCTCTCGCACGTCAATCTCGTGGTTTCGTGGCACGCCATTGTGATTGGTTTGAAGTTCTTGGATGCAGGATATTAAAGAATGCATAGCCACCAAACGCATTTTGGTTGACGCGATACACGCACCCATTTTATATTATACAGTGCATTCTTCGTCGACCATTTTCGTTGGCCACGAGAAGCCAAACCGAGATATCTTTGCAGTCATGATGGCTCATAATGATTGCGGTGCGACTTCGAATCCTGTAAAGAACATGACTCATTGATTTGGCCGTTGGATAAGGTGGCGCGAGTAATAAGAAACGCCAAGGTGGAATGGATTGATCGAGACTTTCATTAGCAGTGCCCAGTGACTACCCTACCGTAGGTTAGTGGGCGATGCGAACGCCATAATGGCGGTGGCTGCACTATCTATCCAACAACGCAAAGTCTCCAAGTTCTCCAGGCTGCCGCAGCCTCTCTCCATGTAGTCCATCCAACTGGGAAACAAGTCGAGTTGGGATGAGTCCCGTAGTGAGAAGTTTCGATTGATCACGACATTGTACGACAAAATGGGGCGACCAACGTATTCTGATGGAGAAGCCGCGGAACCCCCAACTCCATCTCAGAGGAGGGGGTGTCTATACTTCGTGGATCGGGGACACGTGAGGAAAGAACACGAAGCGGAAGGATCAGCGGTGAGATACTGCCGTGTGTTCACATGATAATCAAGGATTGGCTGTGCCCGCCTTAGTGACCATCGCCGAATTATTATTACATCGTTATTCGATTATTCAACCTTGACGAAGCAAGAAAGTCCACATTAAGGGGGCCAAGTTGCTCTAACTCTTTGTCGTGGCCCCATGCCTTCTTTGACTTGACTTGACTTGACTTGACTTGACTTACTAATACGAGTACGATACAATTTTAGAATCTCATCCGCTAAATCCGAACAGTACACCCACATGTTCAACTGGTCACATTATCATCACTGCTCTCCTAGCTGATGCCTGAGAGAGAGGGAGCAACATGCTAGCGGATCATTCGGAAGGTCTGGTCTAGGCGTTGTACGCATATCGGTTCCATCCTTTCGTCGAATATTCGATTTCTGGAAGGTGTTTCTGTGAGATCCATCGAAAGAGGGGGGGGGGGGAGAGGGGAACGAAAGGGGACCTAGATTTGATATTGTCTGGTGCTCGGGAGCGGCGGATGCCTTTGATGAAGACACGATATGTAACTTATCCACTGTCCACAGGACCCCTCCCTTCTCATCCCCTTTCATCTAAGTAGCTTTGGATCCGTCCTTCTACTCCCTTCACAGCGTTATCTCCATGGGTCAAGGACTGGAAGAAGATTCAACTACTCAGCAGCACTACCAGACCCGGGAATCAGGTCCGGAGGGGAAAGGGAGAAGAAGGGGGCGCTTCTAACCGACCGGGAAAACTTTGGAACGCCGTAATTAGGATTATTTGGTCCCATCTATTGCTCCTCTGGACTGGAAACAGGAAAAACCTAAGGGAATATACCCACCCCGAACGGATACTTTATTCCCTCCAAGCTGCGGTCTGGGCGGAGCCCTCGCCAGAAACAAACCCAGCCCACTTCTCTTCCCCCCCGAATCAGGCTCGCTGGGCCGCGATCCACCCCCTCGTCTACGGTGGATTTTGCTCGGCAGAAATTCTAGGTCCGACGGGCCTTGTTCTTTTTTTTACTCATATCGGAGTACACTTCGATGATCAGGCGGTTTCAGATGCAAACTCAAGTGGTTCAGCTTCCGCAATGGGTTCTCAACAGGTCATTTACTCGTAAGTACGGAGTAGGTTGAAAGGAGAAACTCGGCGAAGCGCGGGGAGGGCTCGATCTTCGGGTTCGGCACGAGGTTCCATCGCCGTGTATCTTCATTTCAGGGTCTAGGTTTTGTTTGGGCTTCATGAGTAGGCCCGTGATAGAGTCAATCAGGCGTAAGGTATTACTTACTTTAGACAGTTCGATCGCGCATAGCATCGGGTCATCATCATACGGTGTATCTGAAAGTAATCTATCTAGGACAATTGATTGATCCGTAGACCCCACCACTGACTGTACCCTGACAGGCTCAATTCGGATCTGTCATGGATGACCAGCATCGTGTCAAAACAATGAGCTGGAAGATTGGCAGATTGGCAGATTGGCAGATTGGCAGAGACATCTATTACTTCTCACGTATGAAAGAAGGAAAGAGAGAGGGTCACATCAGATTGACCACGCGGGAGAAGGGGGCGAAGGAAGGGAGGGGTTGAGGGGGCCGGGCAGAATGCCAAGTTGCCAACCTTACTGGTGTTAAGCATATTCTCTCGGTCTTTCTCCGGCGTCAGATGGAAACTGGGAACAGAGTTAACGCCCAACAGACTGGGAGAGAGCCAAGGACCGTTCAATTCTATCCCGTCCATAATACGCGACCTAAAGCCTTGGCCTGGAATCACTTCCCAATCTGAAGAGCAACGTTGTTGGCAAATTTGAACAACAGACGGAAGGGAAGGTTACTGATAATTGATACAAGAGGACTCCATAGCATGAATTGTTTGTCTTAAATTATGATCGGACTGGAATGGAAATGATTTTTTGATACCATTTTGGGCGACAACTGCCTAGAACGGAGACCCGTGGATCGCCTCTTCGTATCGGCTGGATTTGCTCGGCAACCTGATGAGGACACCTGTTCGGTTTAGAATGTGTGATTTTGAGGTGATTTTCTTTCCCTCCCAGCTGGTAATTACCAATCTCCAATTTTACCTAATTAAACTCGCTTCTAACTCTGGGCTTGCTATCCCTTCTTTCCTCTTTTTTTTTATCTCTTTGTTCCCACCCGCGATACGGAACTGTCGGCTCGGCACCGCTCTTTCCCAGCTATCCACATCCCAACCTGGAACTCTCTGCTCGCTTAGAGACAAGAGACAATTTGATGGGCGGGGAGGTGGAGGGGGTTGAAGTTTCAGATTAATGGTCGATCCAGTTGCCACTTCGATTTACTGAGAATCAGAATAGGCAGTCTAACGGTTGCCTAAACCCAGATCCCTGTAGCTTCTTTCCCAAACCACATTGTACTCATACTAAGTATGTGTGTGTGTAATGATATCAAGTACGATGTATGGACAAAAGACCATGTGTGACCGCAGTGCAACGCAGATATTCTGTGAAAACCTCAAGAAGGATACTGGACACATTACAACCAGGGTCACTTACCAATTTACTAAGGATTGGCTAAGCCTTGGCCTATCCTACTATCGCTATACTGATATAGCTGGCTGAGTTTATCCATAAGCAGCTAACTAACGGAGGACCAGTCGCAAAACTCGTGTTGGACGACATCAATCTCTACGTAGTAACCAGCGGGGATGGGCTGGCTTGGCTTCTGCGGCGCTTTGACACTTAGGGCGTGAGTTTGACCAAGGATAAGAATCCTCGGTTATGGGACCTTAATATGAGTATCTTGCGCCTACGGAGGAAGTACTGCTTATAGATAGGAGTAAGAACAAACAATCTACTTTCATTGTTACTCAATCTCCCGTTCCCTTCAAGGGGGAAATTACACAGAGACACCTATATTCGTGATTATACCCATTGCAAGTAGTCGGAACGTGGACTAAGCAGGGACAGGGAACAGGAGACAAACAAACAGAGCCCACCACGGATGCGGAGTATGTCACTAACCTAGGCAATAGTCGAGAGACTAGGTCCGCACCGGTGGATGCCCAGAGCGACGGCTTCGGAGTGTTATTGAAGTAAGCTATAAATATGTAATTTCATTTGACAGCAAGCTTGGATTACTATTATTACTCCGTACTTGGTCAGTATTACATGAAGTAGCTTTGCCCGTCTGGCTGGCAAGAAAAAAGTTAGAACCGAAAGCTTTTTGACTTAGTCTTTCTCCCCAGTGCTTGTTTGACTTTTGACTCTCGGAGCGTCACCCCCTCGCTGCTCCGTACCTTAACCTAATCCAAACACACTATACTGGGTATAGAATACAATCTCGACCATTCTTATGCATCCCAAAGAGAAAATCCACTACAAAAGAGGAGGGAAGGTGCGACAGCAGATCGCAGTCTGCAATATCTATCTCGGGTAGTTGATCTGCGAGTACAACGATCAGAAAGTGAAAGGTGGGTGTTGGTTTGACCACTATGACAGGAAGGAAGATCTTTCCACTTGGATCTGCAGTTGCCCTACGTACTCATATACTGAAGAAACATATGCCTGCATGCCCCGAGGTTGTGCTTCCCCGCCACTTTCAATCCCATTGTATTGTACCCCGTACAGTATGGTAAAAGACGGCGACAAGCACTGCAAGCAAGACTAGAATGAAAAGGCAAATGGGCCAAAAACAGAACCTACCGACCAAATCGCCTGCATATCGGACACTCTCCAACGAGGAAAAGAAAACTAGGAGATGGCAGTTCGGCAAAACCTTGGTCGGACTTTTCTTTTCGATTGATTTCCTTTAGAATCTAGCTTAAATCAATTATGCTAGTGGAGATAAGCCCCGTGTAACGTTTCACCAAATGGCGCCCCTTGGGCAATTGGAACATCTTTCGAATCAAGGGTTGCATTGGGGCATGACCATACCAGTTGACATCAGGTATCGCAACCCAGATAGATCTTGATGTGAGAGGATTCCAGGAGTAACCTCTTCTCTGCTCCTCGTGTGACTCGAACATGCAAGGGATCTTTATTTTCCAGGGGAATTCTCCCCAAAGGACTACTGAGGCAGTAGACGGGTCTTTTGTGTCCGATGATTTCATCCATGATGCTTCTGCTGCTTCTCCTGCTATCTATCGCATTTGCTCCTCGCGAAGCTAAGCTTATGGGAAGCGACAGAAACACATTGGCACCCTGTTATCCGGACCGACCGGCCAGACGATAGTGGCTGACCATCTAACTGCGATGGGAATGTGATAGCTGTCGGTCTGACCACCTCAGGATAATTTAGAGTATCTGTGGCCATGATCACAATGCAACGACAAGGATCGATCGTTTCTAATAATTGTTCGGCTTTCGGACTTTGAAGAGAAGGGAGGGTCTCAGTCGACCTGGATTGGCTGTTGATGCTGATCGCAACCGACTGACCCTAATGCCATGGTACCTTACTCTGGCGGCAACAAGGTTCTTGTACAGATTACACTCAGTTAGCTGCATTCTTCGGTAGGAGACTAAAGCTTGATCGCGGCTGTTAGCCTGCCTTATGAGACGAACCATAGGGAGCGCTGTGCTTATTTATCCGGCGGTCCTTCTCGGTCACTCTAGCCTACCTGGGCTGGTTACTGCCCACTCGTTAGCTACTATTGTGTGTACTAGGTAGTAATTCTTAGCATACCCTCTAGCGTCGCCATTGTTACCGCATACAGGTGAGCCTGGTTCTCGGAGAATCGAGCTGCGGTCTCATATCATTCACTCATATGACCGGCTATGCTTCACATCTTTTAGTATCAAGGAATCAGGGAACACTTGGTACATCCTACTGAAAACCATCTAGTGTATATCGGAGCGGCGGTGGATCGATCTGGTAGTACTTTGCATCACCTTACATGGTCCGGATTTTTCTGGTCGCAACACAGAGAGATAGAGCATCGACGCTGCGGGTGATGTGTAAGTGCTATCCACATCCATCTTGTCCGCCGCCATACCCGCCAGTGTCGTAGGGAGAACGTCCAGACTGCAATCGAGTCAGTCAGCAGAGTGACACTAGAAGTTTGTGCATACGGGCCCAAAAGTGCATTACATCGGTTTAGTCCTACAAACTATTGCATTGCAGGGTACATACAGTACATCGGACTGTAACACTAACCACAGCTTGCGGGGACCGAGGGTGATTGGTGGTTTGATTACTAGGTTCCTTTGAGAATAACCTGTTTGTAAGTACCTACTAAGGATTTGTTCCTCTTTTCAGATTGTGTTCGCAGTCTCTCGCAATAATCATATATCGTGTGTCCGGTCCGAGCTGAGACATTACATTTGTAGAGACTACTAGTAATACGAAAAGGATGCTTACTATCTCAGAGTCTCGGAATATCAAGCAAGAAAAGATTAAGCACTTGATCGGGTGACACCATTCCAACTCTTTTGGAACGGGGAGTAATCATAATGGTTTAATCTAAGTTAATCTATTCTGGATCTTCTTTTGGGGCCCTTTTGTCTTCCTTTGCTTTTTTCTTTATGCTGCTACGGAGTGTACGGGAGTAGATTTCGCCATTGTAGATTAGTAACTCAGGGAATTTTGCCGCTCCCCTATTATTCACGAACTGGACCTTTGGGGGTGGATTGGGGCAAGAAGGGAAAAGGAAGGCATCTCCGGTCGTGATTTGGTCCTGCCCGTTTTGCCATGTGAGACATCAGCTGCACAGGGCCAGCCCTGTAAATACTAGTCCGCAGTTTAGTATCAGATTCAGGACACTCCTGATTTTACCCCCCTCCTCCAAAGAGCCCACCCTATCGCTTGGCCCGTATGCCTTGCGAAATCCTGTAGTGGGCCTGGCCAAGAGGAGCCAAGGAAACCGGGCCAGGATGCGACCGACTTTGTTGGCGATACGCTTATCCTGAGTACGACAGTACTAACTTAGACTGTGCTCCGGTTCGGCTGCACTACTCCAAGTAGCCTAAGTGAAAGAGGCATACTTGGCTTCTCAGCATAGTACCCTAAAGGATGGGGCTGTGTGAAGGTCATACATCTGAGGGGTGTTTTTTTTTTCGTTCTTGCAAATAAGAAACAACGGACTGACTCCAAGAAAAAGGAATTTCTCCCTGACATAAAATCGTAAGTAAACTTGTCATTTGGGAAATGTTCAGGCTCAATATAATCCCGGTTAATGAGATACACGATGAATTTGGCAGCCTAGGGGTTAAGAACGGGGGGGGGTTGATTGTCTATGCGTTCGGCGCGCACTGACGACGTCAAAATGGGCCTATTCATTCTTGTAACTGTACTATTGGTTCCCAATAGATTTCTTGTCTCATCACCTGCGACATGACTGATTTCCTATTTCTGATAGGCTGAGGCAACTCACTGAACAAACCACCTTTTCCTCCCCGAAAATGAAGATTGGTAGACCTGATCGAGATGGCTGTGCAAGTTCCTTAAACAGCACGGTGAACACTAATCATGTACTGTACCAGGTAAGCCTAGTTTAGACCCAGTCGGGAAATTGGTTGGGGAGAAAAAGAACAAAGGAAAAACAAAATTAAAATTGCACCAAAGAGAAAAAAAAAGGGAAGTTGGATTGTCATATGTAAGCGAATCAATCCTTTTTGGAACTAAAACTAAAGAAAAAGAGTAAGCCCAAGCGATTGCGGACGGCCAAAGCTCGACCTTGCGCCCGCAACTTTATCACCGAAGTGGCCATGTCTACTGGACAATAAGTTCCGGGGGAGGGTTCCAACAGCCAAAAAGAGCCTAACTGGCGCGTCTCAGGGCTGGTGGAATTTCTCGAGGCGAAAATTACATAGTAGGAAAAGAAGAAAGAAGAAAGAAACAGAGGCACGGAGACCGTACTCATGTACGAGTAAGAAAAGGTCGGGGAGTAAAAGTCGCGCCCGCAACGCAAAAGTTTACTCACTCCTCTCCCCACTGATAGGACAGCGGAAGAGGTCGCCTACAGTTTGATAAGTCGCCCAGCAAAAGAGTAGGTAGATCAGGTATTACGTGGCCGATCGCTGTGCATATGACTGATCCTAGAGTAGTTTAAACTGTCGTTTACGTGAGAGTTAAACTTTGCCATCCGAAGTCTAATAGTACCTGCTTACTATCTGACCATGGTCAGCTATCATTGAGATCCACTATCTTACTGATCAGACAGTTGTGTCAGGCGAACCACCGTTCTGGATAAGATTTGTCAAGCTTTTCATGGGTTTGGGGTTTTCTGCTCATGCCTGGTAAATTCTGGTTGCCAACCGGCGGATAAATCTGCAGCAGAGGGAAAGAACTGTACAGTAACCTTGCGCTGAGTTGGGTGGAGTGTGAGTTACCGGACCTGTCAGTCTAGCCGAACCACCGACCCCTGCTTGCTACGGAGACTAGGATGGGGATGGTTTCAGGGAGAGAGAGCCTCGAACAAGTTGGGGGCAAAAACCGGCGACGCGATGGAGCTTGGAGTCAGCCCGGGAGCTCCGTGATGGCGGGTTTGCTAAATCGGATCATCGCAAATCGCTTACTTGTCAGTGTATTCACGCTGTTGTCGTGCGCAAAAACCCCCGCTCAGGCTATTTGATCACTCCGATGCGGAAATCTTCTGCTTCCCTGCTATTGAAGGGCTCGTTTAATCGAGGCAGGCCGTGAATAATGATTGATTCAGATCTGGAGATCAGATGGCCAGCAATACGAGTTCAAACCGCCACAGTGGCTGTCGCTTGGGTTGCCGATAGCCGGTAATCCGAGGGAAATGAACGATCATTTTCTCTGCTCTGAGTCAAGACGGTCAGACATGGATCATATACACCGGCTAGCCCGGCGGGCTAACCCCAAGGGAAAAATGTCGTCAGCTTTGACCAGAAATGGTCACTTTTCTTTCGGGCGGAACCGCTGCGTAACCCGGGGATGATCTAACCCTAAATCATTGGGAATGCACTCTATGTAAGCCCGTTTTGCTTGAGGATTGAAGGAATGAGCTAGTTGTCAATAATAATATTATGCTCTTTTGCCTTCATGAGATGAGTATGAGTAGGGTGAGTATTGATTCGTCACAAATTCACAATACCGATGATCCATGCCGGCCTTCCTTCTAGGCCGCGGGTAAAAGATTCGATGAACAGTGGAGAGCTGAAGCCAGCTACTCAGCTATATCACAATGCATGCAATCATTGCAATGAAAACCCGAACCAGGAAAAGTAAGATCCGGACGACACGGATACATAATTCAGAGTTATACGGCGGTACAAATAAGTTCATAACACGACTCAAGACTTCGACAGGAACTGAAAAGTCGGCCATGGAACAAAGTGGATTCCCAGCCACAGTGGAGGTCATGAAGGGGAGAGGAAGAGGGGGGATGGAGGGGGGATGGAAAAGGAAAAGGGAAAGTGGGAACCTGGTAGGCAAGACCTTGTCCGTCCCGAGGTCTGCTTTTGATTTTTCTCTAAGCGAGCTTAAGGTTCCTCGTGTTGGATTAAGCTTAAGCTTCAGAAAGTGGCGCACTAATCAATTTCCGGTTGGTTTCAAGCGATCAGAGCGCCACTGGTATCTTACTAGTGTATTACAATATTCTGCCCATGTTTTCTGGGTTTTTTTGCTCAGATTACTTAGAATATTCTCAATTTCTCTGAATCATGAGTTCTGACGGCCAAGACAACTCTGTCCCCCCCTCCCCGAGAGGGTAGCCGAGATTTGGTTCCGCTGTCTCTCATCTAGGTAACTTATTATTATGTAGCTACCATAGCATTAAGGATGGTAGGGCAGCAGACCCATGAGCAAGGAGAATAGTGCCAGGTGCTATGGTATCATCATCCTTGGATGCTAATCGATATCAACCTGCTAAGGAATGGACATCCGGTATGTGGGAATCCTACAGCCCTGTAGGCAGGAGTTTGTACTACCCATCACATATGCAACCGGTTACTCTGGGTGTCGGTCGTGGTATACAGTACATGCAGTCCAAATGCTGACGACGACGACGATGATGATGATGATGTTAAAACTACCTTGTAGGAGTAACCTACCTCTTGCAAGTAGATTGCCTGTCTGGGTTTAGACTCCACCCGTGAATGAGCCCCCTCTTCTTAGGTTCACTGCTTGACTGCTGGTTATAGGATTACCTGTAGTGTGTGAAAGTATAACTGTGCACACTTATACTTACATTCCCGAGAGAGTTTTGGTACGACTCAGGAGAGGTTAAATTACCTGGAGCTTAGCTGACCCGACAGTCATGCTCCTAGGCATAGCGCAATGATAAATTGAAGCGAACGAACTCACCCACCAGCCTCGCTCTCCAGTACCATGGATGAACATTAGGCGAAAAAGAAAAGGTTAAAAACAAGGTTCGCTTTGTTTGTGATAAATCCAGCAACGAAATAATATCAGATGAAATCATTTGCTGCGGCCTCCTCTTAATCTGTACCCACTTTTCTTGGTCGTTGAATCTGGCTGGCTGATCTTTCGCATGGCGCCTAGAAAGAAGAGGTCCAAGCCATCATCCTCTGACCCTGGCTGGGGCTGAAATCACGAATGGATAAGTAGTTACACTAGTTCATAATCCCGAGAGACCATGAGGCAAAAATAGAGAGGCGGATGTAGTCAAAGAAGCAGCGAGGAAGATACTCATAAATCAGGAGGGCTGCTGCTGCTAACTATTCAAAACAATAACTATTTATGCAACACCGATTCAACTTCACTTATACATAATCCAGTCCATGTACTAGATTACTAATGTGTATTCAGCTGTAGCCGATGCTCATGCGAACACGCAATTAAATCCGACCCAGATTTTTGAGTAACATTATTTCCATCTCATTCAATAAACCAAAACACAACTGCTTAACCCTGTGGGGTTCAAAGTTAGGTTGGTTCCCCACCCTATCTTTGATGCTAATTCTTCACTTGAATATTTTTATTTTATTTTCTATTTCTTTTCCCCCCTCGGATTTTATTTATTTTATTTTATTTTAGTTGGACTTGATTACCATTCGGATTATAATAATCATTTTTCCAGTATTTCTCTGCCTATTCTTTTCTTCTCTCCTACCACCATCTACCCTTCCTACAACTCTCTCATCATCTCCGATTCTACCTGTGACTGCAGCAGCAACGCTCAAACCCGCAATTATTCCCACTGTAAGTAATTGAACTGGTGAACCCGTTCGTTGCATTATGTAGCCTCCTTGTCTCAGCATCCTTTGTATATCTTTACGCTTGAGTCGGTCCGCTTGACTGCATTCCTTCTTTATTCTCCTATCAGTTGTGCCCATCCCTACTCCCTACTTTCTCTTCCCTTCCTTGCTGCCTTGGTTCCATCTACATTCCATCCCCCTCTACACTATCCCCTCGACCCCCTCATTCCCATTCTAATATACATAGATAGCAAATTAACCTCGTTTCTTCTTACCATTAGATCCTCGTTCACTTTCTGTGGATGCTGTGGCAAGATCAAAGCCGATACCGCCCGGGCTGCATCAGTTTCCTAATCGGGAAATATCCACTACCGTGATTGATTCTCTAACACACACAAAGAAGCACGGCGCAGAAACCAACTCCCCTCTGTCGTCAGAGGGACCAGCATTGAGTAGCCTCGGCTTCTACTCGACTTTCAATATTCTGTACCCTACGAATCACCCAGCCCTGGCGCTCAAACCAACCGTCATCACGGGGACCTACACAGATCACCGAAGGTGGATGGAGACGTATCACGGCCACGTCCGCACCCCAGCGGACGCCATCATCCTCTTCGAAGCTTGTCGCATTGGCCTTCTCCCCCGAGTACAACGACGACTGTCGGAAAAAGAACGTCAGTTAATCCGCTCGGGTTCAGTTTTTGTCTGGGATGAAAGGGAGGCGGGTATGCGAAGATGGACCGATGGCAAATCCTGGAGTGCGAGCCGGGTCTCTGGCAGTTTCCTAACTTATCGCGAAATGGAGGGCAAGCGAGGAGGAACTGGTGTGGCACAAACGACAATGTCAAGAGGGGGAAAGACCCCAGATAGTGCGCGAGGCAGCGACGACGATCGGGGGGACGGCGTGGACGAAGGACCTGATGGCTATCGATATAAACCCGATGGATTGATGAAACAGTCGTTCAGCATCACCACCTCGACCGGACAGCATCTCCATCTCATCAGCTATTACTCAAGATCGCACCCGTCTGCTGCCAATCTCCAGCAACCTTCAACAGATCCGGCCTTGCGACATGTTCGACCCCAGAAGGGACTCTACCCAGAATCTACGGTCAACGATCAGCAGAATCTTCCTGTCGTGACTCGTGGCCCCATGGCCGGTGCAGCCTACGTACCTCCTCATCCGATGGGGCCGTATGCTCGCGCCGCTGCTACGCATGCTCCCCCATACACGACGTCGTACACATGGCCACCAACTCCCCTGGCCACGCCGCCTGTTCCGGTTCATCACTATCCCTCATATCTACCTCCAGTTCCGGCCGGTAGTCATGTCGCATATTCTCATCATCATCATCATCATCATCCTGCGTCCTTACCACCAGGTACTCCTCTACCGCCACCTCCGCAGCCCCCCGGTTTGCAAACGCCCCACGAGCGACCAATTCATGCGGTTGAGGTTGCGATGCCTCCGGCCTTGCCCCCATCGTCTGTACAGATGCTTGCAAGTCGGTCGCCACGCACACCAGTTGAAGCGCACGAGATGCTGCATCGAAGCCCGTCAGAGCTCGCACACCACGCGGATATTCGACGTGCGTCTCCACGCACGCAACCACATCCTCTATCACACAGCAACGGCCTTGGCCCGGCTGTGCGGAGCCCCCGGCTTTTGAACCAGCCTCCATCCAACGCCATTCATATCCCTCCCCCGAGTGCGGTGGTCTCCAAGCCTCTCGAGCCTAATAGCTCCGGCATTGCTGTACCCAGCATTGGTTCCCTAATGAACGGCGCACCGTCTGGCGGATTACCCTCAATAACCGCTCCTCCAGTTCCGGCAACAGGGCGAGCGGAGGGGCCCAAGGACATCCCTAGCGAAAAGATCGGATTCGGTGGGGAAGATATGCGGGCTCTCAGACAACTTGATCGAGTTTTCACAGCTTAAGCAGCCAATGGTTGAGATATGTCTCTCACTATCATTCATCATCTTCGCAAGCTGTTGTCACTTCGTTGTGTTGTCGCTAGCATCAATCTTCTCGCGTCTGCCTTATATCCCTTGTTTCTTGTACATGATTTAGCATTTTGCACCCGGTTGAGCTATTCAGATTGAAATGGTCATGCCCCCCAGCCCTACGACATTGTTTCTATTCTCCATTCGGTCTGGTTTATGGTGTTGTTTTTGGTCTTATTTGCACAGAATCGGCGTTGTACAAAGAGGTGCATTACTATACAGCATGGGTGGGATTTTTTATATGTCACGGGTGACTTCTTTTCAATCCTGCGTTGAGGTCGAGAATTGCAATGGGATCGGTCAGTCCGGTGACTAGTCACGATGATAACGTTGAATTTATAAGAAACATCTTAAATTCATCTTTGCAAACTCCTGCACCTGACACCCACGGTTCCTGGAGTCATTGTAGTCATTGTAGCACTGCCGCCATTGTTGTCTATGTGGTCAACCCCACTTGTGAATAATTGGCACAAACCTGCTGTCTCACCTGGCTCAGCAGACAACTATAGTATAGCCTAGGCTCATCTGCACGCCGACTGGGTCCATGCACAACCAGCTCCCAGGTTTGCGCCTGGCCTCATTCAAAACCATAAGCTAATCAAAAGATATATTGCAATATCGAGTGACCTCAATCTTTTCGGCGGTAACTCCGGGCCTTTTCATTCACGTTGAAACAGGTGCCAACTTACGCCCACTTTCGCCCGATTTCTGCTTCTCAGAATGTAGGTATGTAACAGGATTGAGAATATATGTTTTGAGATGACCCTGATCAATTTGCCCCGGTGGAGCCAGACCAGATAGGAAGGATACTTGGCTGACCTGAGGATGTACATACCTAGTAGTCCTTGAGGTGGATGGCGGGCACATAACTGGATCCCCAATCCAGTCCTCCTCATTTTACGAGCGGTGAAACAAATCTGCCTAGTCTAGTTCTTCCATTCTTTGATCATTCTACGACAATTCGTCTACTAAGTTACCCAGCTGAAATCTGCAACACCACGTCCCCCCGCTTGCTTGCATTCAGACTAGTCGTCCCTGAAGATCGCTGAAACGCCCGCCCAGCGCTGACCCACTCGAGCCAATGGCCGCGGAAGGGTTTATTTACAGAGGTTACAGAGGAGGGAGAGACCCGCAATGGATTTGCTGCCAGCTCGGAATTTGTTGGTGTGCTGTATGTAGCTGAGCCGCAGAGCCACGGGCATTGAAATGGTTTGCTGGGATCCATCTCGACCCAGTATACGGGCAGGTAGGTTTCGCAGAGGGAAACTGTCTTCCGGGTTTCAGGGCAGGTATTTAGTTAATTGCCGCAGTCACTCTACTCTATCAATCAACATTCCCCGAAGAAGAATAGGTGGTCATCCGCGGGCAACGCTCGGTTGGCTGCGATGCTGTTGACGAGGCGACTTGGTCGAGGCGCAGCTGGAGCAGACTGCGGGTCGTGGACGGTGAGCTTTCTCCCTGCGTTCACGGGTTACATGCTTTGAATGTCCGAGCCGAGGTACACAGTTTGGAGAAGGGGTCGGGGGCTGAGATGGTCATGCTCTTGACTTTGGTGCAGTCACACTTGGGCGGGGAGGCCAGTCGCGGAGGAGTCATGTTGTCTCTGCCCGCTATCTGCACCTCTGTCAGTCAGTCATTCCAGAAGGGGCGGATATATCACCGGCATCTGCAGCCCTGCCTTGGCTCAGAGCGTCAACGGCCGGGCAGTTCGTGAAAGCCTGGACAATTGACTCGATCTTTGCGGATCAGTAACCACACCTCCTGCGTGGTCCAAGTGAGACTCGGGTGGAAGGCTTGTGATCGGACACTACGGCATATAACTGATTACATGCCATCTCCTTTGGAAATGGGCATATTGCGCGTGGAATTGAACTGCAGCAATCACATAGTCGACTTCATTTTATGGCTGTCACCGAACGGTGGTAGGATCACTACCGCTACCCCCTTTAAATGCGGTCGTGGCGCCGGCAGAACTCGGCTCTTTACCATTTATGTCTGGTAGTCAGTCACACATAGTGGGAGTCAATCACCGGGTTACTGGATGATTCATCCGTGCTGGACAATTATCTTGTGCGGTGAGCCAGAGACTATGTACACTGGTCGACACTATCTAATCACTCATCTCAAATGTGCTGATGACTCTATAGATTATGGTTGCTCTCCTTGCTTTGCCGAACTGGTCCGAGTTACCAGTTAGCTACCAGCAAACTTCGAAACTTGAAAACTCGAGATTACTTCTCTGGCTGCAGCTTCGAGGCTTGGTATAGAAGGCCCTTACGAGCCCATTGGTCTGTTTCACTTTGACAAAGTGCGATCCGGAATGACCTCCGAAGCGGCCAGGTTTATATCCACCAGCTTTAGCAACGACAGATGCTGCAGGCGCAACAGGGCGATATTGCGCCTCTCCTCCTCGGTTAAAGAGCCAGGGTCACGACGCGCCACAAGCTCTTCGAAAGATACCGCGAACTCGCTCAGTTGAGTTAGCATGATGTCCTGCTGTGCTGTCGCCTGCTGCACCACGGCCGGTTCCTTTGTGTTGTCGTGCAAAAGAGTTTCGCAGGACCCTCGGAAGTGTGATACCTTGCTCATGAGGATATTGATTCGCTGTCTAGCTTCTAAGAGGCTTCCAAATGCGTTGCTACCAAGGCTGCTGGACCCAGTCAGGGAGGTATCCTGGTCTGTTGATTGCTCATGCATCAGGCTGCCATGACTGTTGGTCACAGACGGGTAAGCATTCTGGTCTGTCGATTGCTCGAGCGTCAGGGCATCTGATTGTTCGTACTGTGCTATTTGCACATCGAGCACCATGAAGGCTTGGACCAGGGCAGCCTCGGTCGCAGATCCGTAGCGGAGCTGTGCGGTAGGGAGCGAGCCTTGTCTCGGATGATGCCTCCAGTACCCATCCCGCTGCTCCACGAGTTGCACTCCCCTCCGCAGATGCACGCCCGCGCTCTTGTAGCTGCCATGAAGCAGCTCGACGCAGATGAAAGTGATACAGCATATCAAGGCCACCAGCCGGACCTGAGGATCATTCGACGCCAAGCGTCGCCGGAGCATGACCATCGCTTTGCCATACTGCTCGAACGCAAAGCGATGATGCGAATCATGCATACTCTGCTTGCCAGTGCGGCAAAGGCCGCGCATCTCGACATCCTCGTGAAGCGCACTTAGAGCCACGGCGGTGTGGTAGGCAGCCGGCTCCGCATGGCTGATCTGCAGGACTATCCGCTGCCATACCTCCGAATTGAACCAGTCGGCCATCCTGGGCGCCGTTTGATGGAAGAAAATGCCAAAGCATCGTTGTTCGTCAGTGCTGGTATCCGGTCGGGTAGTTGGGGCGATCTGTAGAACGGATTGTGGCCAGATGGTCCTTGCAATTGCTCCGGAGATGCGTGGCAACCGGCTAGCATCGTATTCGCAGTGGCGTCCGGTGTAGGTGCATTGATTGCACGCACCAGGTGTCTCATCACATTTGACATGTCTGGCTCTGCAGATCGGGATGGCCGTGGATCAGTAAAAGCGAGCCGGGGGCGCAGTTTGGTTCCAGTTTGAGGGGTGGTTACAGACCGACAAGTTCGACATCCGTTTCGGGACCTGTGACGAAATTGTCTCTGCCTCTGTCTCTTTGGCTCTGCCATTGAGGAAGGGATTGTAAGGCTGGCTTTGAGGGAAAACTTGACGAACGAAAGTTGAGATGGCGCATTTGGTCACTACCTGGTAACTTAGTAGTAGGTAGCCTCAGCTGTCGGTAGTCGCTTGATTGGGGAGAGGGGGGGTGGGGAGAGAGGGAAGGGACGCGGCCCGCTTCCGAGTGGGCGCCGCCGCCTCCGCCTTGACCTGTCGATGAATGCCTCAGTTCTATATACTCAACAGAGAACGTCTTCGAAGATCCTGTCGGTCTGAAAAAGTATGAGCGGATAATGCTGACTACTCGGTCCGTTGCAGGCAGCGACTGCTCACCCCAAACCTCGATGGCCATTGCGTGCTAAGGGGCACTGAACAGTCAAGGAAAACTGCTTCCTGAAAGCAATGTTCTGTCCATGACCAATCCTACAATAGCAGCCAAACCCAGAGTCTCAGCATTCTTTCAGCTTGAGGCCATTCGCCGGTCGCTCGCCTCCGCACGTCTCCACCATCATTGGCTTCAACCTCCGGCCGCCCAGGTATGGAGGTAACACACGCGCGGGAATCAGCTGAATGTCGGGCTCAACTCTTCAGCGTGACCTCGCGGTGGTTCGTTGAATCAACTAGTGGCTCTATCTCAGCTGAAGAATGACGCCACTCATGATTGTACGACAGTATGTAGGAGCGACATCTTCAACTTCTGATTGTGGACTACGATTGGCAATGATGCTGAGACCTCCAAGAGATAGCGGTGCTAATGCCTTGACTTTGTGCTAGGGGCCTTTTCAATACGCAATACATTACAAGAGTCCGTGGCTGATTGTAGCCTTCTGTCTGCTAGAAGATTTCTGGCGTATGCCGGTCATTTGGAGTCGACAGGCAGCAGGCTTTACCAGAAATAACGCCTAGCACATGGTGACCACGCTGTATTCTCGATGCCTAGACAAGATGCGCCAGATTATGAGCCTTCCCTCTTGTCCAAAGGCTTTACCTTGAGGCTCTCACTGACACATGGCTTTTCGACTTCCATTGGATTGACTTTCAGACTGTTCAGCGTGTATGACAATCAAATGGAGGTTCGTAACATCAAAGGAATGATATATAGCTTTCCAGGTAGTCAGAACGGTTTTTCTTTCTGGTAAGTCCGACATTGTATATAGTCCCGTGGCCCCTCTGGTACTGAATGTCTTCAAGCAGATGTTTCTCAGAACATGGCTTGGATTCCTCTGGCGTGTCAGTAACCGTGCTTGCCCCATATCTCAATGACTTCCCTAAGAAGAAGAAGAAACTGGGTACATGGGCTCATCTAATCTGCAACTAGAGAGAATGAATATCTACCTCAATGACGCGAGAGGCAGAAAGTACATTCCCCGCGATCCTTCTCGACTTAAAGCCAGGGACAATGTATGCGATCAGATACGGTCCTGGTGGTCCTTTACTTAGACCTGACAACTTCGTTTTTAGGCAATGTGGAACGGGCAACAACTGGGCCAGGGGCACTATGCTGAAGGGGCCGATTTGGTAGATCAAGTGACTGATGCTATTCGGAAAGAAGCAGAGATATGCGATTGCAATCAAGGTTTCCAGATTGCCCATTTGCTAGATGGCGGGACGAGGCCCGGTATGGGCACGCTTTTGATTTCAAGAATCAAAGAAGAGTTCCCCGATCGAATGATGACCGCGTTATGCTCTGCTAAAGCTCCGATGCCGTCGCTGGACCTTGCAATGCCATGCTCTTCACGAAACACTGGATTCATGAAGCGGATAAGACTTTCTGCTTCGACACTGGTGTGCGATAGACAATTTCTTCGCTATTGCTGCATCAATATACTTGAATGCGCACTTTAAGACTCGGTTATCCCACGCACTGTGCCTTCCATTACTTTGTCTCAGCAGTCATATCTGGAGTCTCGGTGTGCCTTTACTTTCTAAGCGAGCTAAACCCGGATATGTGCAATCTCTTAAGATGGTTCCGTTTGCCCATTTGAGCATCTTGATGGCGGGCTTTGCACCACTCACCAGCCACATGTGCACTCATTCCGATCAGTCACAGTCTCGGATCTCACGCAGCAGATTTTTGATTCGAGCAACATGATGGCCTCTTGCGATCTCAACCGGGGCTGATTTTTTGACATGTTCTGCTTGATTGCAAGGGCCTGGGATTATCAAATATATAAACAAGACTAAACACTGAGCTCTCTAGCCAGTCGGGGACGGATCTCCATGCGAGAGATCGAGGATCAGATGAAGCACATCCAAAGCAGCAACCATAGAGCTCGAATTACTCCTAAGCAACGTGCAGACAGCCTTCTGCTCCGTCCCGCCGCAGAGTCTCCGGGTGTCACCGACTTTACATGGCAACTCGACGGTACTCCAGGAGATCCTCAACCGAGTGGACCATGCCTTTGCTCGACTTTTCCGCGTCAAGGCGGTATAACATTGGTACCTCGGGGACGGAATGGAGGATCTGAAGTTCGTCAAGGCCGCAAGCAATCTGCATGACTTGATCGCGGAACATCGACAGTATCGATATGCCTCTGCTGAGGCTAGTTACTCTGATGGGACGAGCCCCGACAATGAGGATCTACAGCACCTCAAAAACAAGCGAAAAAATATTGAGTGGTTGTCTGCTGGGTTCAAGGCCTAGCTGTGGTACTTCAAGTCAAAACATTCTGACCAGAACTAGAAAGTCAGCTTTCCGTGACTTCGTCTCACAATGCCTCAAATCATTGGAAACCACCCCAAGACGAGGATTATTCTGATCATCTACGAATGACTCCAAAACACCATCTCCTCCTCAATCCACTGCAACATCAATCAGATATTATATACCACTCACTAACCACCATGTGAATCCCCCCAACCAACTCACGTGACCGAACCCAGTCTCTCCCCTCTGCCCCTCCCCCTCCTCCCGCGTATCCCGTCGTCCTTAAAAGTACAATCAACTAGCGCCCATCACCACCACCACCACACCTGTGCGTCCATCAAAATAGGGTAAAGCGGGCGGGCCCAAGGCCTTTCAACCTACTGTACGATAACGGAAAAAGAGGGTAAGTGTAGATTAGTGCAGAGCTTCTTTCCCCAATCCATCTGCATGATTGACCGAGAAGGGGGCGGGGGGTTACTTAGTACTATCGAGTACTTAGTAGTAGGCTAGTAGCTCGCCGCGGGTTGTCTGCATCGCGGCGCAACGCACGTACGCCCGCAAAACGCACGCGAAGTCTTTTTTTTTTGGTGGTCTACTAGAAAGTCGAACCTACCACCCCAGAAACCAAAAGAGGAATAGACCAACAACCCTAAGGGAAAAGCAAAAGGAACGATTTTCTTTTTGACTAAGCAGGCAGGCAGGCCGGTTAAAAGTAGGGTTGAGTCGGGTTGTGGGTTGTGAGTGGATGGGAATGTACGTATACCCGATCCTCAGTACTGACTAGTCTACTCTGAGGAATGTGTTGAAAGGTTGGTTATGGGATCGAGATTTTTTGCTTGGACGCTTGGAATGAGAGAGAGGTCTGGAGCGGGTGGGTGGACCGTCTGGAACCTTTCTTCTCTTTGTGAGTAGTTATACGTGGGTATGAAGATTTTTACATAATTGGTGTGACGGGTGAGAATTGGGTTGTTGATAGAGCAATAGAGGAGAGGGAGGGGCAGGGGAGGGGCAGGGGAGGGGCTAAGTTGAGATAGAGAGAGAGAGAGAGAGAGAGAGGTGGTTGATGGGATGGGGAGGATGGTGTCGGGGTAAGAGGGGAGAGGGAGAGGGCTATTTGACCAGTCAAGTTCTGGGAGTAGTCGGGTGCATCGCGGGTGTTCCAGTTGCATGCTGTGCTTGAGGATTCATATTTGAGGGATGGGGCTGCTGATTCGATGACACTATACGTAGTAAAACTCTCGCTGCCATGGGTGGACTAATGCTGGTCTTGGTCTGGTTATGGTTCTGAGCTCCTAGGTTCGGGCCATGGTTGACTTATAGTTAGGAGATCAACATCTGAGAAGTACTGATTTTGCTCCAATGTACTCTCCGTAAGCTCGCTAGCACTAACTGAGTGACGGATTCACCCCCACTTAGCACACCCGTGATGGTCTATCATGTTTCGAATATATAACTTGAAGGTCACTGCGAAGTTGATGACGAGATGCTTCCCGTAGATGTACATTGTCTCCGTAGTTACTGTACGGTTGCAGTAAGCAAGTGTAGAACCTCAAGATCCCGTCATATCCGGTAATACCCGAATCTCAGGGCACCATGCCATGTGACTTGGGTTGGATCTGACCCAAAGTCCAGGCCAGTCCAGTCCAGCCCAACCGTTCTTGTTGGTAAATGCAGAGAGAAAAGAGTCAGTCAGAATCGAATCGAATCAGTGGAGGGGCAAGCAAACAAGAAGTTAGAAAGAAGAGGCAGCGGAACCGGGGGAGGAAGCCGAATGCCTCCAAGCTACCTTAACTTTCTACCCAACCTGTGGTGAGTTAAGTTTAGTCAAGCTAGCTGAGTTAGTTTAACGTACTCCGTACTCGGTATACAGATGATTCTCTTCATCTCTCCACTTCTGATTTCCCAATTAGTCGGCAGGCAGATTGATGGGGCGCCCGCCCGGACGGAGTGCTTCATCCCGAGCCGTTTCGAATCAACCGTGGCCGACAGACAGGAAAAGATGGGAGGAGGCCCAAGCACTCGGAGACAAAGCCATCCAATTGCACACAATCCTATTCTGTTCGTTCGCCTCTCCTAACCCCCCTTCCTCTCCCCCCCCCCGCCATAACTTACTTACATGGAGTCATGGACTGTGTGCACGGTTGTTGACTAATGGTCATTCCGTCCATTGGCTGACTTGGAAATGCTAATGCTAACTCGAGTGGCTGTGTATGGCGCCTTGAACTCATTGTTGGTCCTTTCGGTCCTTTTATGAGAAGAGGCGAGAAGGTAAAGACAGGGTTATGTAGGTACACGACCTAGCTGCTTCATACATGACAGTGGTTAGCTGGAGCTCAGGCGCCGTGCTAATTACGGAGTAGCTTGGTGGCTGATCATCTCTCTGCTCTGCTAAATCCATATCATCAGACTTCAATTGCTCAATTCTCGCCCCATGAATCGGTGGAATCGGATTCGATCGGTTCCCTCGGTCGCATCTGATCATGTACCTACAGTAGTAGGATGGAGGGCAGGGGAGAGGTGGGTAAGGTAAAGCCAGTCAATGAATGAAGTCGGACATGATCAATGCTGGCTTGATGCTTTGCAGTACCCCGAATGTCCGTGCTGGGAGCACAGAGGGAAGATCTGGCCCACTTTTCCCCAGATTGTCCGGGTATGTACTCGTAATGAGGGTTTTGAATGATTCTCGCTGCTTCTTGCTTTTCCGTCCATTCATTCCCCTCCCCTTGCTGGAGACTCCGGACTCAATCCAGATGCGCCATGGGGGAGAGGGATTTCCCCCGATCCGATCCTCCGACGTCATCCTCCTTCGCCTCGTCGGGGACCGTCAATCTAAAGTTCGTGGTCAGACTGATCAGAGGCGAGTGGCCGGTGGGATCACTGCCCGAGCATCTGGCCCTCTCTCCGCACTTGCTGCGACACAAAGAAAGGCCAGTAGCGTGGGGTGGTGTGGCGTCCAGCTGAGCCTGAGCCGTGTCATCCCGGCATGCACGTAATACACTACATAAGACCCCGACTGGGGAGACTACCGACTTCAAACAAGAAAACACACTTCCATGCTTCCCGTATCTGGCAGTCATGCTGCTGCTGCTGTTGCTGCTGCTGCTGTACTCATCCTAGATGGTGTGGGGAAACGCCTCATCGACCATACGGCCTGCTTCGACGTGTCCGGTTTTCTGGGGAGCATATACGGTAGACTCGATGTTGCCTGAGACAGATCCCACGACCAGATAGATCTCAACTGGGAATTGAAGCAGATTATCGAAAGTCGGAGGGCCCCTGCTGCAGCAAGGAATTTAACTTTCTGCTTGTGTAAGCTAAGTGGGCTGCAGGCAAGATATCTATACGAGTCTCCGTCAGAAGTGCCTGTATCATGCCCGGCCCTTATCCCCGCCTCATGATCAGTGATCTGAATGTGCGCCGCAGGCAATGGAACCCACTTATTGCGCATCCTTCTCCGACAGATCCTGATTTATCTGAGGGAGTGAGAAAGTGTCATCAGGAGACGATGGCCTCGGGGAGAAAAAAGTCCCAGTATTGCTGTTTTGTAGTAGAAAGCGATGGGAGAGACGGGGCGTGTCTGTGTGTCCTGGGAGAGAGACTGGTGAAGGGTCTGTACCACGTTGATCTTCGGTGCATTTCTCTTTTGGTCCAAGCCATGAGAGGGTCTTGGAGCCGACCGAGAGCCTCAACGGGGTCAGACCATTTGCCTCCTGTCAGTGCTCAATGGAGAGACTAAGCTTAGGTGTACGGATGCAATCCGTCGATCAGCTTCTAGCACAATTTTGTGCTCGGTGCTCAAGTTTCAGAGGGAGAGTGCAAAAGAAGAAGAAGAAAAGGAAAAAAGGAAAAGAAAAGAACCAGAATTTTGATTGCCGAGAAGAGGAAGGCGAGGCAGTAAAACCCCTGACGACGCATCATCATCGCGAGGAATTGCATTTCGGACCGGGGGGGGGTTTCCTCTCCTGGGAAATCATCCATCCACATTCATATACCACACGTACATACACACGCACACACGCATACACGCACACCGGCCATACTCGCACGCACGCACGCACGCTCACACAAACCCCGGCCGGTCATCAGCCGGATAGTGAGGTTCCCTGCCCAAAGAGGGAGAAGCAACGAGGATCATCCGCGGTGGTGGTCAACAGAACTTGATGCATGGGGACTCTGATTGGCGCACATTGCTTTTTCCAATTGTTTTGGGAGCATCCACCGATTTCAAGTTCCGATGTGTGTGCGTATGTAAGTGTGTATGCAAGTAGGGGTAGTGGGACGGACGGAAGGTACAGGTACAGGTACAGGTACAGGTACAGGTACAGGTACAGACACAGGCACACAGGTACTGAGACAGGTCCAGAAACCGAGTACAGTAATAGTGAGGATAAACTGGAGGATAGTGGGGTGTGAGGGTGTGAGGGTGAGGATGAGGGTGGTGGGGGGAGAGAGGGAAGAACTGGAAGGGCAAGAGAAGGAGAGAACCTAGGTAGTTGTTCATCGGAGTACTAAGTACGAGTACACGCTGTGCTGTACTTATTAATTAGTGTACTGTATTTACTTGCTGTACCGTAGTGTAGTGTAGTTAGGCTAGTCTAGTTCGTGGGCAAAATGATCCTAGTGAAGTTTCTCTGTCGCTTTTCTCCGTTGCGCCATGACCCAATAAGGGTCTGTCTGTACAACAACCGGCTTGGCAGCCCAACTCTTGAAGGTTAGAAACTCTTTCTCCAGGCCCGGGCTCTCTCTCCCAGGGCTGATTCTTCGATTCGTTTTTCTCTCCCCGCAGTTGGAGTTTCCCTTCCTGGGATTGAATATCTAAGTTACCGATCTACGGAGTATACTATGAAAGATGGAAATACGCCTTCAGACACATCGCAAGGCAATAAACAATGTACCTCGTTCATCCCAATTTCCAGTGAGCTCGGGGCTTTTGTGATGGATTCGATTCTACCAAAACCGGAATTATCAATCAGAAAGTTTGCCCACTTGGGATCCATCCGAATCTCGGTTCATGCGTGCGGACAATGAATGCTGAAGTCTGACTGGTTGAGCGAGTCAGTGACTCGCTCAGTCAGCTCCAGGCTGTCAATCCATCTGTTAGTTAGTTGGGATGAGACCGTTTGTAACTGCTTGAGTGTCTGTGTCTGTGTCTTTGTCTGTTTGAATCAACCCTCAGAATGGCGCAGCGATTAACTTACTCAGCACCTAGTAGGTAACTAACTAACTAGGTAACTACTAGGTAAGTTCTACTCAGTTAAGGTATCATGGCCCCCCGACTTGCCCATTTGGGATTGGCTTCTGTTGAACCTGGTCAGGGTCGGAGTCTGTTATTCTATCCTGTTCTCCATTCTTACAATACGGTTTGTGTCGATTCTTCCATTATTCCCTCATCTCATTCAAATGGACGGCGTCTGTTCTCACCGTGGTGTATCCTTAATAAGCTGGGGGTTGTCAGTTAGTTATCGCTTTCTCTTTGATCGACGAGATCCCCAGCCTCGTTTGTTGTGGTTCTATAGGCAGACAGGCAGACTCGCACACTTTTCCACTCTCTTTACTCTTGACACTGACATTGACACTTACACTGACACTTTCCCCTCTTTCCCCCTTCTTCTCACTCTAAGCTTGGGGGAGTTAGTCTAATTGACCATTGACTTACTATTACTTCTCTCTGACCAAGGACTGTCCGCCACTAACACACACTACGGGTACTCCAACTCCCAACTCCCAACTACACTACACTGCACTACTCTAACTTACTCTACACTACACCCACTACGCCCACTACGCCCACTACGCACACACCACACACACAGACACAGACACACACACACACCTCCATCCACCTCCATCCACCTTCATCCACCCACTGAACTTGCTCAAGTCTGTGACGCACTAACTTCAATCCAGCTGCTTGTACTTTCTTCCCTTTCCTTGCCTCCCCACCCAGTGTGTTGATTCCATCTTCCGCGCAACCAGTCAATCTCAGCCAAGTCTTGTTGTTCCTCCCCACTTTCCTTCCATCCATTGTCTGTGTCTGTTCGATCTTCCCCTCCTCTTTGAATTCATCTATTCGTGATTTTATTATTATTTTATTATTATTATTATTATTGTCATTTTCATTAATTTCATTATTCTAAATTCCTATTAGTACTGTCATTCTACCACTACTACTATTACTACCGCTACCACAACTACCACTACTACTACTACTACCACTACTAATAATACCAACTACACCTACTAATCAGCTTGACCACCACCAATACCACCACCACTACCACCCTCCACCCTCCCACACAGTTCTACCTACCCTGCTGCTCTTTTCTTAAAGACCCCTCCTCGCTCGTCACAGATCAACCCCGGCTTGCCGCCCTCCTCCTCCATCTCCTCTTCCTCCTCTTCTTCTGTTCGCTCGTTCTCCTTGCGTCTTACATCGCCGGCTTGCTTACTCTACACTCTATACTCAATACACTTTTTTCATTTCGATATATATATACACTCCAGCACTTGCGTACCGTCTCTACGCACCTCCCGCTTAGAGAGGTGGCGGCGTCTGGTGCAATGTTGTCCTTGCAGAAAGCGTCCCTTTTCGCCCTCCCTTCCTCCTCCCCGTCTAATGCTGCTTCATCCTCCTCATCTTCCTCGTCCTCCTCGTCCTCTTCTTCCTCCGACAGCAATAATCTTTCTCATGCTTTCTCGTCAGCACATCCGACCGCTGTTCGTCGCGACTCCGCCCGCTCGGTGGTTTTTCCCGACATCCCCGCCTTTGTCGACTGCCCTTTAGTCGATGACTCCTCACTTTCTCATCGCACCAGTATCAGCACCACGGACGATCTTTCCAATGACTCGCCGATTTCCTGGGATGGGGAGAACCCTTCCGACACTTCGCCTACCGCGCCCACCGCCGAACTGGACTTTAAACTCCACGATGGGTCACACCACCACCACCACCCATTTGCTGCGACCGCAATGCCCTCCGCGAAGACCTTCCGACTCAACATTTTCGCCACCCACTATGCCGACCCGACCATGACCGATGTAACGCCCAAAATCGAGGAATTGGACGACGTGGACGACCTGCAAAGTATTAAACCTGTGGGGGTGGAGACAACGACAAATGCGATAGCCAATGCGAGCTCGAGTCATTCGGATTCCACGGCTGTTCCCGTGAACGTCCCACGGAAACGTGGACGACCGCGCAAACATCCGCTGCCAGCGCCCGGGGGTCAGGTCAAGATCACCAAAGGGAGATCCAAAACCGGCTGTATTACTTGTCGTCGTCGAAAGAAAAAGTGTGATGAGACCAAACCAGCGTAAGCCTTCTCTCATACAATGTGGAGCCGGTCGCAATGATGAATTCTGACTTCCGCCGCAGTTGTCTCAATTGTCAGAAGAATGCCGTCGTGTGCGAAGGCTACCCTCCGAAAGAGATCTGGAAGAGTGGCAAGCAAAAACTCGAGGATGGTAAGGATCATCGATCTCTTTTGTTCCGACCTTTAAGTTTCTACCCCTTGATTTATCGGACCCATATACGACGTCTCAGACTTCCATTCTGACTCCGTTCGCTTGACAGCGGCTCGCACCCATTCCATGGTCTCTCGCAGCCTCCCGTTGCTGATCGATGGTATCGAGACTGAGATCGATCGTCGATTTCTGGACCACTTCGTCTACGGATTTAGTCGGGTTCTGACCTTGATCAACGATGATTCCAATCCTTTTAAGGAGATCCTCTTGCCTATGGCCACCCAGCATCGAGGGTTAATGCACTCCCTCATGTGCCTGTCAGGCTCACATCTCTCGGCCCTCGATCCGGAACCAAAGCTGAAGGAGCGTAAATATTACCATTTCCATCGTGCCATTCGCGATCTCAAGGATAATATCAACGCCTCCTCCGGCGGGTCGGTGGAACCCGAGCTTCTGGTGGAGGATCCCATAATTGCCTCCACTATCGCTCTCAGCTTGAATACAATTTGTGAAGGCGAAACTAACGGCGAGTACCGTCCACATATGGACGCCGCACGGTACCTCTTAACCACACAGCAGCCACGGAACGAGAAATTCCGTCAGTTTATTGTGGAGTTCTTTCAGTATCACGATGTGTCCAACTCAATCACCTCCCTGGACCGCCGCCCCGCTCACTTGCAGGGTGACTTACGCCTTCCCGATTTTGTTCCCCATGCCCAAGCGGGAATGTTCCTGGGTGTCTTTGATGGATTGTTCAACTACATATCCGAAGTAACTCGATTACGAGATCGCATCCGTCAGCGGTTCGACGAGGGTTATGAGCCTGCAGTGGATTATCAGATTTTGGGAGACGCTGTCTCGATAGACTCGGCTATCCGAACCTGGGAGACGTCATATGCTGCCAACACCCCAAATTACTACCTTGCACAGCTCTACCGGCAGTCAACCTGGGTATATCTCTACCGCACCATTCGGCCATCCCGACCGAGCGAAAAGATTGCCCAGGTGGTAGATGATGGCCTGGCGTATTTGGATCAGATCCCCCAAGATGCGGGAGCATTATGCATTGTGCTGATGCCCCTGTTTCTGCTGGGTTGCTCAGCATTCTTGCCACGCCAACGCGAGCGAATTAAAAAGGGGTTCGAATCCCTCAAAGCTTACTCCAACCTCCGTAACATTGAGCCTGCCTTCAAGGTCGTGGAGCGGGTCTGGGAAGTCATGGATAACAACTCCGAAGAGAGCTGGGATTGGGAGAAGATCATCAAAGACATGAAGATGGATTTTCTCATCACTTAAGCAAGATTTCGTCGGACCTCCTTGCATTCGTTGGCTGACCTGGTCGAGCACATCAGTCGCTTGCAGATCAGCAACGCATGTGTGTACTTCTTCTCTTTGAACCCTGATTTTTTTCATTTCTTTTCACATATTACGATTTCGGCTGGCGAACAGCACAGCTGGTTGATTGGGACGGGAATGCCCTCAAAATGAACAGTTGCAAGGGCAGGCACAGGATTTGGATCGGCGTCGGGCCAACGGGGGACATATTTAATTTCACATATACCATTCTACCTCTTTGAGATCTTATCTGGTTCATTTGTGGAACTAGAGCAGTGAGACCACGGGTAGATGTACTTTTACCTTCTTGACGGAGTTTCGGGACTTCCTCATTTTCCCATTATTGAATACTGATGAATTGTCATGATACGCCATATGGTGCTATATGAGCCATGCATAAGGGGGTCTGTGAATTGTACAGTTATGGTCTCCTTTTCTTCTTTCGATGATAGTCTTTTTTCCTTTTTTCCTATTTTCTCCCCCTATTTTTTTCTCCATCAGATTAGCATGTCTATATCGTCCGAGATATGCATACTGTAAAGCATGCGTAGCGTGCCATTGCATCGGTGGCGCACCCAAGCCCAACTCAGCAATCGCGAAGCTAGAAATACCAGTACTGTACTGTACCTACCTACCTCCGAGTCATCCACGCCCCTTCCCCCCTCTCTTTGCATGACGGCGCAATTCATTTAAGCAATCAATCGCATCTGAGATTAGGTTTGACAGATCTCTTCGATCCTGTCGGCGTACTGCACTGTACTGCACCTGCCGGCCGGGCTGTCTCCTTGACGAGCGTCATCTTACCCCATCCTCATCTCCTTCGTATGTCTCTCTGCCTTATTTCGCTGCATACGGTTCAGGTGCTGAATGTATCCGTTGATCAGCTTCCAACAATCAGCGGTCCCAAATACTTGATATGTAGCCCGGAAATTGTTCACTTTATTCTCATCAATACCACTTCATTTCTCTTGCCGGTCTTCCAAACCCAGATGCGGAATCCTCTCTCACTCATCACATCCAAGCGTCGAGTACCCTGTCTTTGCCTTATTGTTCCAGAATTTGTGTGGCTGAGACAGGATAGAATGATCACTTCTTTTCTTCCCTCTCTCTCTCTCAGACACTGAACCTTTCCGTAGGTGTTATACCCTCCAGAAAGTCGGAGTCTTATCGTAAACTAGATATCATTCGAGTCCGTCCCCGAAAACGTCCCATAATCCTCCTCCGTGGCCACAGGCTCGAACTGTTCGTTTATCCGTGGGCCGGTGTATCGTCTAGATCACCCCGAATGGTTAACCATGACATTGTTGATCCGCACGGAGCCAGTCAAGATGGCTCTTCGGGGTAGGATACTTGAGGGGAAAACGGAAAGCACTTACCCCCTTGCAGCAGCCCACCACCAAACCAGGGCAAATGCCGCGATGAATATCCCAACAAAAATCCCGTAGTTCCTGGTTTACGCGGTGGATCGCATGAGCTTTTGGATGTTGTTGACTGGCGTTTTGTGGGGCTTTCTTGATGTAACGGGGGGGTTTTTTTCTGGGAGGTGTGCTTACATATTCGCGACTGTCACCGGTACATGGGGTGGGAAGAATAGCACCGTACTGATGAACGTCACCCAGACGATCGAGATCCAGTTGATGTAGGGGCCCCATTGGCCGAGAGTGAAGGGCCCCTGCACGAATTTGACCCGGTGGCGGTAGATTTGGTGGGCGAGGATCACGGAGACATAGGAGAGGTCGAGGGCCGGGGCGGTGATGCTGAAGATGGCGGTGGCAGTTTGCGTCGACCCGATGGCGATGCAGGTCAGGCTGATGCTGAAGAGGACAACGAACCAAACGGCGTTGAGAGGGGTCTGCGTTCGGGGATTGATGCGGGAGAGGAACCTTCGGGTGGGGATTGGATTAGTTGGTTTGGGGTTGTTGGGTTCAAGGGAAGATATATCGATCGTGGGGTGGTGGGGGGTTGGGAGCCAGGGCTGGGAGTAGAGAATAGAGCTTGCGGGGAGTAACGCACGAGGAGAATGGCAGGGCTTCGTCACGGGCAAATGCATAGGCCATTCGCGTATCGGCCAACATGGCGGAGCAGCCGGTGAACAGCTGCACAAGAATCGCAAAACCCCACATGATGGAGCCGCCGACAGGGCCGCCGGCATTCAAGAAGATCTGCGCCGCGGGAAGGCCGGTGGGGGTGTTGAGGATGCCTTCGTAGTCCGTGAGGCAGAAGCAGAGGCATATCGTCAGTAGCCAACCGAGAGTGCCAGAAACGAGCACGGCGGTTTGGATGGCGACCGGCCCGAGGGCGGCCGCATCACGGGTCTCCTCAGACATGCTAGATAAAGTTAGAGGATCTATACGTTCAAAATTCACGGTGGACTCACTGAGTCGTGCCGTCGTAGTCTGTTAAGACCCAAGCCACGGAGATGAAGCCCAGCAGGAAGGAGAACGCCTTAGAGCCCCAGCCGGAGCCATCGGTAAAGTGGGTAAACACCCAGACGGCGGGCTGTTTGTTGGGCGTGTACCATAGTAGCGTGAAGCAGATGCAGACAGTGGCGGTGACTATATCGTTAGGTTTATCAGTGAGCCAGAGTCATTGAGAACGTACTATTGATTGGGGCAAACCAGGCGATGATGCGGTGCAATGATCTGGTGGTCATAGAGCAAACCACACCTAGGATGCATAGGAGGGCCACAGCCAAAAGAACGGTATCGGATGCAGATCTAGAGCGCCTCAGTACCAGATACAGCATCAACGATAAAAAACAAACAGCAAAAAGGAATGAAAGCTTACGGGGAGTAAGAGTATTTCCCATCGACCAATGCCGAGTTCATACTAGCACCAGCGAGCAGCATCTGACTGACAGTGTAGACCACACTAGCAACCCCTGCTGTTTGTCCCAGGAGGTTACACCAACCTTGAATCCAGGAGAAGATGGGCACATATTCCTCTGGCACGACATGCTTGGTGACGAAGTACATGCCTCCAGCTGTGGGATATGCTGACACAAGCTCCGCTACCGAGCTGCCGATGCATAGAGCCATACAGGAGCCCACAAACCAGCACCATACCACTGTGGCCGGACCCCCTGCGGCCAAAGGAGCACCGAATGTCGCGGGCACCGAACCGAGGATTCCCAGGATGGAGATAGCGTAGGAGATGGTCGACCACTTCGAGAACTCGCGTTGTAATTCCTGGCTCAATTAGAGGATTTGCCTTGTGGCGGAGATATAGAAAAGTCACCTGTCGATAGCCAATGCGAGCCAGCAGTAGCTCGTCGTTGTCTTGAACACCGGTCATGGTGTCACGCTCTTGTCATATATACTATAGTGCTTCACTGGCCGTTTATGGAGAAGGAATGGATAGGTCGTATGAGAGACGTCCAGCCATTGATCGTTCTGAAATTGACGTCCTGATGTTATTTTTCCAGTCATCATATTTTCGTTGAGTTGACACTCACTGAATCCCAGGCTGAGCGCCAAAAAGACGGTGAACGGACCCCGCAAGGACTAGGGTCAATATAGACAAGATACAACGAGGAAGAAGTCAATTGTCTGCTAATTTGACGTTGTGTGAGTATGTGGCAAAGGCAGCGCCGATAGAAAAATCTAGTCAAGCAACAGAGTGTTGAGAATTCGAAAAATGAAGTGGCTGGAGGGGTGGCGGTCGTCTGTCCTTCCATTGCATGCATCATGCAGCTTGTCGGGAAGGCTTGATAAGAACAGCAAGTGAGGGAAGAGCATAGCAATGGATTCCAACAGCTTCACTTATCACAGAGTGCATAGCAATTTCTAATCAGGCATACAATCAATACGATCGTACTATCATGATTTGAAAGAATAATTGTGCTGCAACATCGGACGGAGGTATGCTATACTTCTTTCCAAGTGGGGATATAGATCGAGCCCCTGGCCGAAACGAGTAAGGCGGACAGGGTCCGGAACAAAGATGGGCCGGGGCAGTTGTTTGTATTAGGTGGTCAATTGCGATGCCGCGGCGTCGGCCTTCGAGGTCTGTCTCCTTGTCCCTTTTTCGCTACTCACCTTCGATCTCACACTGATTTTGTTGATCGTCGTGGAGTAGCAGGTGGTGCTCCGCCTCTGGTTAAAGAAAGAAAAAAAAGATCTCCGCTACCCGTTGATGATCGATCCCACTTCGTCCTCACCCCGCCCCGGTTGTTCGTCTTCCCCCGCGTTATGAAGCACCATGGCCGACCCGAGCATGTATAACTCTTTCGGCCAAGGGCCAGTGCCTGGTGAGGCCTCGACCGATCCCAACCGTACAGCTCATCAAGTTCCTCCACAAGGCTATCCTGCCGCTGGTGTTCCTCCCGGTCCTTCCCCTCCTCAGCCCGGTGCTATGTACGGAGCCCCTCAACAACAACAACAATGGTCCGGATATGGGGCCCCTCCGCCAGCCCAGCAGCCTCTGCAACCGCCCCACGGTCAATTCGCCTATCAAGCCGATCCGATGGCTGCCGGAGGTGTGTCTCCAGATCCCGCGATGGCTGGTTTGGCATCCCAGATGAGTGGGTTGGGCATAATTGGAAGTGATAGCGGGGCTCGGACGTCGAAGAAGAAGCATCGTCACGCACACCACGAGATTGCAGGAGCGTCGACCTCGGCTTCGCAGTCACTCGGCGCAGTCCCTCAAGCCGGTATACCGCCACCGTCGCAATTCCTGAACACCGGGCTGAATCAGGCCGCACATCCTATTTCCCCTGCGGCCGGGATCCCTGCCCCAGTGAACCCGGCGCTCGGAGGAGCCGATGTAGGCTCCGTTCCCACACAGGGCAAGATTGATCCAGAGCAGATCCCCAGTATTCCTCGGTCTCGCGACCTCCCGGCTCAGTACTACTTCAACCATGTGTACCCGACGATGGAACGGCACCTCCCTCCACCGGCAGCGGTTCCTTTCGTTGCGCACGACCAGGGCAACTCCTCCCCGAAATATGCCCGTCTTACATTGAATAATATCCCTTCGACATCGGATTTCCTTTCTTCTACCGCACTTCCCTTGGGCATGATCCTGCAACCTCTAGCCCGTCTCGACCCCGGCGAGCAACCCATTCCCGTGTTAGATTTTGGCGACGCCGGACCGCCGCGATGCCGCCGGTGCAGAACATATATCAATCCGTTCATGTCATTCAGATCTGGAGGCAACAAGTTCGTCTGTAATATGTGCACATTCCCCAACGACGTAATGGCGGACTACTTCGCGCCTATTGATCCCTCCGGGTCCCGTGTCGATCGCATGCAGCGTCCGGAGCTGATGATGGGAACTGTCGAGTTCCTGGTTCCCAAAGACTACTGGAACAAGGAACCTGTTGGTCTCCAGTGGCTCTTCTTGATTGACGTCAGCTTGGAATCGGTCAATCGGGGTTTCTTGAAGGGCGTATGCAAGGGTATCATGGAAGCTTTGTACAGCGAGGAGCCTTCGGAGAACGTGGACGATGAGTCTGCGGCGCGGAGAATCCCCGAGGGTGCTAAGGTTGGTATTGTCACTTACGACAAGGAAGTTCACTTCTACAATCTCAGTGTATGTGTGCAGCTCCCACAACTGGGATCGAACAATATACTCACGAATCCATAGGCACAGCTTGACCAAGCTCAAATGATGGTGATGACGGATCTCGAAGAGCCCTTTGTCCCTCTCAGCGAGGGACTGTTTGTTGACCCCTACGAATCCAAGTATGCTCCCCGGTGGTCGCGACTCTGGTGAATATCACTGACATGAGACACAGGAATGTCATTACCTCTCTGTTACAACGAATCCCCACAATCTTCTCCCGTGTCAAAAACCCACAGCCCGCGTTGCTTCCTGCTTTGAATGCCGCTCTCTCTGCCTTGAGACCTACTGGTGGTAAAATCATCGGCACAATTGCCAGCCTACCTACATGGGGCCCTGGAGCTCTTTCACTGCGGGATGATCCCAAGGTCCACGGAACCGACGGGGAAAGAAAGCTGTTCACGACGGAACACACGGGCTGGAGAGAAACGGCAGGCCACCTGGCAGAGGCTGGCATCGGCGTCGATATGTTCATCGCAGCGCCGAGCGGCACATATATGGATGTAGCGACGATCGGTAAGCTCTGATTGCCACCTTCCCCACAATCAGCTGCTAATGTTTCAAAGGTCATGTTCCCGAGGTGACGGGTGGAGAAACGTTCTTCTACCCTAACTTCCATGCGCCCCGCGATATCCGCAAGCTGTCTCAAGAATTGGCCCATGCGGTCACGCGTGAGACGGGCTATCAGGCTCTGATGAAGGTCCGGTGCTCCAACGGCCTTCAGGTGTCTGGATACCATGGCAACTTCGTGCAACACACGTTTGGTGCCGACCTCGAGATTGGAGCCATCGACGCCGACAAGGCAATTGGGGTAACCTTCAGCTACGATGGAAAGCTCAATCCCAAGCTAGACGCTCATTTCCAGGCTGCTCTGCTATACACCTCGGCTAATGGTCAGCGGCGAGTGCGGTGTATCAACACTGTGGCGGCAGTCAACGAGGGCGGTCTGGAAACCATGAAATTTGTGGATCAAGATGCAGTAGTCAGCATGATTGCCAAAGAGGGTAAGACTTCCTTCTCTATTTGGGTGATGATGGTCACTAATTGAATTCAGCGGCCTCGAAAACGGTGGACAAGCCCCTCAAAGACATCCGGGCCAGCGTTACGGAGAAGAGTGTGGACATCTTCAGTGGTTATCGGAAGATCTTCTCCGGCTCGCATCCTCCGGGTCAGCTGGTACTGCCGGAGAATTTGAAGGAGTTCTCAATGTACATGCTGAGTCTCCTCAAGTCACGCGCCCTGAAAGGTAGAACCGCGTTTGCCGTGCTGAAAAAGAGAGACAAACACTAATTATCGAGTAGGGGGCCAGGAAGCGTCTGATCGGCGGATTCACGACATGCGGATGCTCCGCTCCATCGGCTGCACGGAACTGTCTTTGTACCTGTATCCCCGCATCGTTCCCATCCACAACATGCAGCCGACGGATGGGTTCCCCAACGAACAGGGTCAACTACAGGTGCCCCCCTCACTGCGGGCCAGCTTCTCGAAAATCGAGGAGGGCGGGGCGTACCTGGTGGACAATGGCCAGCAGTGTTTGCTGTGGCTGCATTCGCAGGTGTCACCCAATCTGCTGGAAGATCTGTTCGGTGAGGGCCAGAACTCGCTGCAAGGGCTGAGTCCCCAAACGTCGACCATTCCCGTGCTGGAAACACACCTGAATGCGCAAGTGCGCAACCTGCTGCAGTACTTGTCGACCATCCGGGGCTCCAAGGCGGTGACCATCCAGTTGGCCCGCCAAGGGCTCGACGGCGCGGAATACGAGTTTGCTCGTATGCTGGTGGAAGACCGCAACAACGAGGCCCAGAGCTACGTAGACTGGCTGGTGCACGTCCACCGGCAAATCAATCTGGAGCTGGCGGGGCAACGCAAACGCGACGATGCTGTGGGAGAGGGGGGGATCACGAGTTTGGCGGGCTTACGAGCACCTTATTGGTGAAGACCCCGGAATCGATATCTAACCATTGGAACTACTATCCATGTCCGAACGCAGATGAGGGGAAAGGACGGACTTCTAGGGAGGGGTAAACGAGGATGAAGGAAGAAAGGGAGGGGAGGGGGTTGGACGCGATGGCGAAATTTCATTTACACATGCAGCAGTGATCATTCCAGTTATACCACGGTTAAGCGTTTGAACCACTTGAAACCCATACAGAGAAGCCCGTGAGAAGGTTTCTACTTTGTTGTTTGGATTTTTTGACTTTTTTTTTTCTTTCTTTCTTTCTTTCTTTCTTCTCGGAAAATCCCTCAGGAACAGGCAGGTAAAGCGTAGCAATGACGGATGATGTAGACTCTTATGATTGGATTGGATTCGAAACCCTGTCAGGCAAGGCAGACGACAGGGTAGGAGGTGAGAAGCGAAGGGAGAAAACAAACGAGCTCTGGAAAGAGCGGGGAGTCTAGAACCCGGGCCGGGAAGAATGGAAGAAGGGGAAAAGGAAGTGCGAATTAACTTAGGGTGCCGGCGGAGACTAATGGGAATTAGTCTAGTGGACGGTGAGAAAAGTGAGTGAGTGAGTGAAGAATTTTTGCATGCAAGTGCAAAAAAAAAGCCTAGGATCCACTTTTGAGGGGGGCCTTGGGAACTTGGCATCGACGATGGGGAACCTCCGGGAACCTCATTCATTCGAAGAAGGAAGAAGAAGAAGAAGAAGAAGAACAAAAAGAGACAGCCGACAGAGATGAAGTTCGGGGAGACCCAAATTGTTTCCCCTGTCAGCCGAAAGGCAAAGACTTTTACCGACAGAGCCATGGTAAAGATCTCCTTCTTCACCCATTCTTTGAGTCCCGGAGGCAAAGAGAGAAAGGAAGGAAGAAACCCGAGTTTTTGGTTCGGGGCTTCAGACCGGAGGAGGGGGAGTTTGCTGTCTGTCGGCTGCGGTTATACTGCCACGCGATGCCTGGCGGGGTGCAACCCTTATTGCCACCGGACCAAGACACGGTAAAGATTATTCCCATTGCAATGAGGCTGGTTAGGCACACACAGCTTTAGTGCTGACCACGGCTACGGGAATCAACCCCACACCACGCTGAGGAAAAAGAATGCCGCAAAAAGAAAGTATGCAATGAAAATGCGTCTGAATGACGCCTATTTTGGGGATTCAATCACAATCACAAGCACAATCACTACCCCGTACGAAGTACGATATACTCACATGGATGGGAGGGTGTGTACGGTACAGTCAGTACAGTGT